AAGGTAAGGAACCATTCGAAAACGCTTTGCAGCTTAGCTGATGGAGGGTGAAAAGCAGGGACCCAAAAAGGATAACAAATAGATGGACATTTTAACCATTTTTAGTAACAAAAAAAGATGACTTTTTAGAAGTCCACATATGGAATGCTTCCCTATGCCTTGAAAAAGTAATGCCCTGAACAGTAATAGTGATAAAAATACTTTAAATATGATTCCAAAATCGTTATCCTAGTTCTCGCCAAAATTATGCAGTAACAAAGCCAAAAATGGTCAGAAAATGGAAAGTCATACCTCATTGGACTCGAAATTAAATTTCTAGTCCAACTGTGTTCACACCTCAAAATGTAAATATTTGGCAATTTTTCGCAATTTTTTCCCTTATCAAAAATTCGAAAAATGGCCAAAAACTTGAATTCCCCAAATCAAGTGGGTAGTGATAGAATCTGTCAGTTTAAGTCGTTAGCTGCTCAGAACAGTATTCCTTTTAGCTCTACGTCTTGTTTTGACTATTTTATAGGCTATAGACCTTGAGAAAATATGGCAAATATTACTTAAAAATATTAACTCCGATTTATCATCAACCAAGCCAGTATTTTGATCATAAGTTTGCCAAAAATGCATTGAATGCCATATCTCGTTGAGTTTGTAATTAAATTTCCTATACAACTGTATTCACACCTTAAAATGTGATTTATTGTCCATTTTTCGCAAATTTTGATGATGTAACCCCTTATAAAAAAAGCAAAAATAGGCCAAAAAAAGGAAATTCCAAAATCGCTCAGACAATGATAGAAATTAAAAGTTTGGGTCTTTAGCTGCACAAAACAGCCTTTGGTTTTCCTGTACGTCTTGTTTTGGCCAACTTGTGGCTTTCAAAACTAGAGAAAATGTTGCAAAAATTTTTTAAAAATCGTTATTTTAAATCTTGCAAAAAGAGGACGAATTTTTTCCATAGCATAGCCAAAATTGGCCAGAACATGGAATGTCATACTTCGTTAAACTTGTAATTTAATTTCACTTGCAAATCCCAGAAACATTTAACAAAACGGATCCTCCAAGAAGAGGAATATAAAATCCCAAACCATTGAAAAAAATTCTCGCCTCTAGTTACAGATTCGCCCAACTCGTTTTAGCCCAGGAGACAGCCGAAAATAATTTGCGACAATCTGAATTGATTGTATTTGCAACAAGTGGGTTTCGCCAAATCCCGGATTGTTCATCGATTCCAGCAATCCAACCAACCGCCACCACCACCACCACCATCCGGTATCCTTGTGCCTGGCACACATGTCAACATCGGTTTATATTCGTGTTCTTTTACATAGCCCGCATTGCGAAGTAGTTTTCTCCCGATTTCCTATTTCCACCCTGTCGGTGTTGCAAATAAACAAAAAGCGTTATAATAATATGCCATGCTCGACTAGATTGGGAAATAGCTGGAAGAGAGAGAGATGGGGAGTGTTTTAGTTGCCGAGTTTTCCATATCCTGTTTGCGGTCGGTTGGATTTCTGTGACCGAGTGTGAGGGCTGTGACGAAATTTGATTCGACATTGTTATCGTTGCAATACCACCGAACCACTCACAGTTTGTTTTTAGACTAATTGTGGTCTCGGTCTCTGTTTGATTTCGACGGGCTTCGCCACTCCAGAAATTCTACGTTTTGAGGAATCCAGCAAATTGTGTTATTTAAATTAACCATCTCGCTCACTTTCCGTGTGTCCAGATATTTTTTTTTTTTTTTTTTTACTTTTCGCTGTCCATGTCCAGAAACTTGATACAAATTGCATTTTTACTTTGCTTCATTCCATTTCGCCATAGTAATTTTGCTTCGCTCGTTGCGCTTTCAGCAACAAAGTTTTCCTCTAAAAGGAAATCCTTGATAAATTGTCACAGACAGAGCAAAAGAATTTTTATCATCAGTTTCTGTGCAACCTTTGGCTGCACTCGTTGAATGAAGTTATTCAAAAGCCCTTGTTTATTACAAGGTATTTATATATATATATATAGATATGTATGACTCTAAGTCCCTTGCCAGCAGTGTCCACTTACTTGTATCGCGAAAAAAAAGACCATGATTTGGGTCAAGTTAACATCGTTTCGGGGAAAATGGGCCAAGTTGTGTTCAAGTTTTCCGGCCGCTTGTCATTTGCATCGATAAGCGGACCCACTGCGTCTGTAAAAGCAGTAATAACAATACGTTCACTAAGCCAAATAATCGCGGGCAATGCACTGAAAGAAAAGAACACAAGATAAATATAAAATAAAATAAAGTCTCTTTGTATTATAAAGAACCTGCTGAAAAAACTTGTATTTCTTGACATTGAAAATTGTAAAAAAAAAAAGTAAATTAATGTTTTTTCTCCAGTGCCTCATCACCCACAATCGCAGGCGGGGAAAGCAATTTGAGTCCTAATGAGCAAAGCGGCGAACTCACTGGGAAGGAAGGTCAAGTCTTTGTCCTGCCGATAAAAAATGATAAGCCAAAGGCGAGGAGAACGCGAAAGTGAAGGCCGCAGCTGCTGCTGGCCAAAACCTCCAGGCAGGGGTAAGGCTACGTTTTAGTACACTGTTATACCGGACATAGCCGTAGGACAGTCCAAAATATCCACCCACATTTGCATGCCGGCCGCGTTCGCGGAGTTGAGTTCTTTTATTTGGCCATTTCGGGGAATCTGGCCCTTGAGCTGTTTTGATATTTTATTTTCATACATTTTTATGGGCTAGTAAGCAAATTGTCGGGGGCGCATGGGTTGTGGAGAGGCGTGGCTTTGGGGGCAGAGAGCAAGGGTTCGTTTCACAGAGGATTTTCATGTGCAAACCCATGATGGATTCGAAAGTGAAAAAGTGTAATTAATTTTAAAGCTTAGTCGTCAACCGAATTTGGCAAATGACGGCTATGCCTTAGCCGCAAATTAAATTGAAAGCCTTCGTTCGGTAATCTCGGAAATAGGAATGAAATCCCGAGAAAACTGAACAACTGAGCAAGTGAACAACTGAACAACCGAACAACCTGCCAACTGCCGATTCATTGTGCGTCAAATTAATGACAAAGTAAAGTCCACAAAAAAACCAGAACACGAAGCAGAGCGAAGAAAAGTTTCCCACCATGACAAAGAACTTTACCGAAATGTGGAAATCAGCGACGTACTGGAAAGCCTACAGTAGTTTACTCTCCTCAAGGTTTTCAATAGAAATAGACCATATAATGTATGAAGAAGATAAACATAGAAAATCTTCTCTGTATATTCAGCTGATACTAATCATCAAAAATACTAACAAAACAATGGAGATTACTTTCAAAGCAAACATAACTCCTCTTTAAAGTAAACCTAGATAAACCACATTAAAACTACAAAATCAAAGTTATAACTTTTTCTTAGCCAAGCAACCTTCTTTGTTATGAATAACATTTCCTCGAATACCTGCTTTACCCAATCTGGTAAGTAATTTTAAAATCCTCACCCACCGGCCACCAGTGGTCCATCCATTCACCCACGTTGGAGGAATGGCCACAGGCTTTCGGTGGTTGTAAAGCGAAAATCCTCGATGGGTGCAACTTTCCGCACGGCAGCCGCAAAATGCGAACGAAGTGAAAGCAGGGAGAATTCACGTTATTCGGAAAATGTTTCAAACGCAGGGCAAACTAATCACGGATGCAATTCGAGGAGCCAGTCACCGCAGGAAAAAGGACCACATGCACTATTCCAGGGCGAGGCCCAAAGAGAATCTGCAGTGGAACACACACATGGAATGGAATCAAAATCACAACCAATTTTGTAATGGTTACGTACTGGCAAAATTTGCCAAATCCAATAAAATGTGACGTGGGGGTAGGGTGGTGGTCTGGTCTGGTGGTCAGGGAGAGGCTGGTTTCGCCGGTAGGCGTGCCAATCCAATTGGAAAAATTGCCAAACAGTCCGGTCAATTTCTGTCCAAGTGTTGGCATTACAAGAGGCACCCGAAAAACAAAGCGATATAGTTCAAAAATATGCTCACCTAATGGATACAGTGTGTGGTGTAGGGATGCTGTTTTAAAACTGACAAAGTGGCTTTAAGGCTTTCGGCTTGGCTCACCTTTTTACGGAGATCTCTCTCTCTCTCTCTGTGTTTGTGTGTGTTTTTCCCGAGGGGACCCTGACCTTTAGTTAACTTTTCATAATCGATGAGCTGGCGAATCCCATATAGAGGGCGGTAGTCCCATAACCACGCCCACGCCTAAGTCAACCCCCCAGACACAATAAAGGGTTTTCAACTTTGACCCTGCGCCTTTTTTTTATATTCCCGTATATATTCGTATATTCGCCCATACCCCAAAGCAATAATAACAAGTGTGGCTGGCACAAAGTTTTGGCAGCCCAAAGTGGCTCAAGGAATATATTTTTTTTAAGGCTCATCTTGCCTTTTTTCAACTTTTTTCCTCTTCTTTATTCTACAACCCCCCAGGGGTGTGTCTGTGTGTGTGCCAGATGCCGGAGTGCCGGAGTGAATGTGGTGCGAAAAGTGTTTTAAAATGAGGATGCCCGACTTTAAGCATAATGACCAACATTTCCAAGAGGTGAGTGTAAATGGTTGGCTTTTATCTGGATAAACAAAAAAGACAAGGGGTTGATATCCCTAAAGAACATAAAATAATCATAAGCATAATGAAAAGGTTTGTAGTAGTGGGTTAAGTTGGATAAACTTTAAGTTTAAAATGTGTTACGCACAATGCCAAGCGAACTTCGATTTGTTCAAATTTGCCGCCCAGTTTCATAGCAGTCAGCTATTACATCATCTAGCTTTGGCAAGGCATGATTGCTTTTTTCAATTCGTAGTATTTCGCTACAAAGTAACTAAAATATCCTAATCTGAATTAATTTGAATAAATATATTTTTTTTAGAATTCTTAATATGAAAGCTTTTACTATTTTACTTATTTTTTCTCCTCTATCTCTGCTGTTTGGTATATTTACTGTAGTATATTTGCTTGCGCCGGTTGGGTATTTTCCAGAAGCCGAAAAACGGCCACACTTTGCAGTGTTCTTGCTAAAAACAAAACAATCTTGAAATTAAGAGTAAATTTATCAACCTAAAGCTACCAAAATGACGCAGGACATGCTGCTGGGCAACGAGGAGCCAAGCAAGACCAAGGAGACGTTCCTGGAGAAGTTCTGTGTCCAGGCCAAGTCAGCCACAGGCACCGCTTTGCTGGATGTGATTCGCCAGGCCCTCGAAGCTCCAAATGTCTTTGTTTTCGGCGAGTTATTGGCAGAACCATCTGTATCTCAGGTATGTCTATAACTAAAACTTATTCTTGCTTTATGATTTCTTACTTTGATTCCAAACATAGCTCAAGGACGGCCCTGATGCCAAGCATTTCGAGACCCTCAACCTCTTCGCCTATGGAACCTACAAGGAATACCGCGCTCAACCGGAAAAGTTCATCGAACTAAGTCCCGCCATGCAGAAAAAACTGCAGCACCTGACCATCGTCTCACTGGCCATCAAGGCCAAGAGTATTCCCTACGCCCTGCTCCTCAGCGAACTGGAGATCGACAATGTCCGTCATCTGGAGGACATCATCATCGAGGCCATCTACGCAGGTGAGTTCGTTTGATTGGAAAGCTTATTAGGGTTAGAGCTGATCCTTCTGATAGAACTATTTTCCTGTTCATTTTCCTAATAATATAAATAATGTTAAGTACAATTATACAACATCAACTTTATAGACTTAAAGCATAAAAGCATGTTACCTTTACTATATTCCTAAAAATTACTATACATTTTTTACTAAACTTCTTACATAAAATGAAAAGATAATAGTTGTATTGAACTATACAAAATTATAATACAATAATTGAAATTATATATCATCTTTCAAATATCATAAACAAAATTTTCAAGTTAAAAAAAGGGAAGCTTGTTCTTCGCTTGTAAACAAATTCCAAGACAAATCTGTAAAGTTAAAGACCAAGACTGTGTTTTCTGCAGAACCCCTATCCGTTCCCTTACAGTTGCAAACTTATTCATTTTCTAGTTAGAAGTCCTCCAGTTTTAGCGCCTAGCTGACAAATCTCGTTCTCTGCATCCCCTCTTAGTTTGCATTATTAAATCAAATGCTAATTTTTGCCTACTTTTCACCGGGGAGGGAGCGGCTTCTTCGTTCAATTAGCATTTTTGAGCGGCTGTACACCAACGCCGGCGGCCCGGCAGCTGTAAAAGCATCCGAAACGCAAAGTTGTGTTGCCCCACCCAGTGGGCAATTACCACCTTGCACCCACCCACATAGCAACACTCCAGTCCCGGCCACCGCCTCACCACCAACCACCGGCAGTCAGCAGCCTTTGGGCAGTGCACTTGATTAGCCGAGACAGCTGGCGCATCCTGAAAAACGAAAACAATTGGGCGGAGAAACGAGGATTATGCTCGGCGAGATTCATTAAGCCAGTCGGTCTGGCGCCCCACCAGTTGATTCTCCAGTGCTCATCCCCGCGGGGGTAACAGTTTTTACGGCTGCCAACGTCGTCAGCTGGATGAACACTTTTGCCTCGATGATTTCCTTTCCGAGCTCACGCCTCGTTGGTCTCCTCCCTACAGTCTCTCCTACGAACTTCTCTACATAATTGCCACATAAAAAAAGTTGACTTTAAGTCTAAGGTTATGGAATCACTTCTAGAAATACTTCCAAGTGCAGAAACTCATTTCGGTCAGTTGAAGAAATTTCATTCACAACTAAAAGTCAAACTTTTTTGTAGTCTTCAGCGTTTTTTGAATTAAATTTAGTTTAAAAAGTAGTTGGTGTTAGATTAACGATAATTCAATCGAGTTGAATGGTTCAAACTGCCTTAATAGTTTAGTTTAGATGAGGTAAAAGGATAAAGTAACTTAGAATATCAGCTATAAGTATTAAGCTATTAGGAAGTTCTCCTTAGCCATGCTTCGCTGTATTTTATTGAGATGAAAATAAGATAGGCCTGCGATTCACTTGAGTTGGCAAATATACGATGTGCATCATATATTCGGTATTGGCTGGTAGCTGCCTTGAATCCAATTCAATCCATCATTGTGCCCCCGGAACAGACTGCATATTTTACACACTTTCCACTTGTACTTCCGGAATCCGGACCCGTTCTGCATTGTATGTCGGCAGAAAGCCGTAAATCAAACGCAACACCCAGAAGCCGGGGCCCAAATATCGTTCGGAAACATCGCTCGTGTAAGCATATACTTAGGGCCCTCGAAGGTGGTGCTAAACTTGTTGGTGCTGTTGATTTTTGAGCTTTAGGCCGTGATCTATGGGCCGGAACAAAAACAAACAGAAGCTGTGTAATAGAGGTCTCCGGCCAAAACGAGCCCTTCGGGCGGATTTTTGGTTAGTGTTTGGTTTTAAGCGGCTTCCGACAAGTGTCCACTCGGCATACAGAACAATCCAAACATACATTGCCCGAACATAAGGGCCGGATAATGTTTTATGGCGGGCGAAAAGCAAATAGCATTCAGCAGTTTTTAATGGAGTCTTGGCCCGTCCATTATGTGTGCAAATAAAGTGACAACTCAACGCCATCTGCCCCATAAATAAAGTCTTTCCCCAGGAGTAAACAGTGGTAGTAGTACACCTCGAAAAATCTCCTCACCTGGACGCCCTAATTGCTTTCCAAATCCAGGCAATGAACAGACAAATAAATTCCCCCCTCCCGCTCTAGCCAAGATTTATGTTATGATAGCCATCATTAGGAGAGGGCATCATTTGGAGTGGCAGGAGGGTAAGTGCCAGATGCCAGATGCCTGATGCCTGGCGGAATGCGAAATCATTGCGTTCTATTAGGCGCCGTAATCTGACATCGCAATTTAATGTAGTTGGCAATGGGAGGGGCCTCCATTAGCTAGCGGGCAGGTGGGGCTGTTCCCTTGCCCGCGATTTCAGGTCATCCCATTAGAGCATCATTTGTCTCACGGGACTTTGGGTTGGGGATATGGTAATTAAATGCGTTCTATAATTGAAATTCGCTTGAAATTTATTTTGGCTGGTTCCATTAGTCAGCCGCGTCTTGATTGATTCGGCTTAGCCAGGAGTTTGGAAAACAAACTAAATAAATGCCAAGCTGGAGATCTTACTTAGACATGTTTTAGTTACTGTCTTAATAATACTTAATATTAGTTGGCTTAAGCTGTCTCATGATTTTTCTTAAAAACCTCTTAATAAAGTGCAACGAAACTATTACTTAGTCGAAGTACAGATTCTAGGAATTTAAGAAAGTACACAATATTGAAGATAAGTAACCCCAAAAATGTTCTTTGCCTGCACCTTTGGCATCTGCGCTCGGAAATCGATCCGCCAGCATTCCATTTCAAGGAAAGCTCTAGTGATTTTTAATTTCCACAGCGATTTTCAAATATTTTCCCATCTGGCTCGGAACTAGTTTTACTGCAACAACATCCCATGCACTCTTCACCAGCAGCAAAATTCAGAGAATCGCTTGGAAGTAAGCACAACATGTTCATAAACACTTTTAGAGGGAGGGATGGGAATGCAGAGGTGGCATCTATACCAAGTTCCTCCGCGGGTTTTCCAGCCCTTTCGGTTGCCATGTTGTGTGTGTGTAAGCTTTCGAGTTGCTGGGAATTGCAGAATGTGTCGCGGAATGCGCCTGCTTGATTGTAGTTTCTCTTTTTTCGGGCGCACTTCTTTAATTTCTTTTGTGTGTCAAAGAAAAGTTTCGCATAATTCAGGGTGCTTAAAAGCGGCTTTTCAACTTGCTTTTTCGTCAGGCTGAAGGGATTTGCAATTCAGAGAGAAGGAGGATGAATTTGTTTGGCGGAAATGAAAAAAAATAAGTTTAAGCGCTAGCCACTTGTGCATAACATTTTCTGAATGGGTCCGCAAAAAGTGTAAACCCCTTTCGCAATCGGTTAATTAACAGTGTTCCAATGGCTAAAGCACACTGCATTTAAATCGGCTTTTATCCAGAGAAAAAGCTGTTACATCAAAGGCTAAAGGTTTACCTAAATGAAAAAGCCACGACCTTGCCACAAAGCCGAATATTCAAAAGCAACGCAGTTCGGAGATAATTTGCCTTACTAGCGCGCTAAATCAGGACTCATCCGGCACCCCAGGACCCTCCGATTGCGCAGCTGTTTCTGATTGCATAGTTTTCGGCGCCACGGGCCCAATGCACTGGGTTAGCCGGCGAACGGTAAAAGGGAAAACTTTCAGCAGGGCGAGTGCGAATCTCTGTGGGTGGCTGCGACGAGCACTTTGTCAGTTTTAGGTGAAAACTTTCCCGCAGCTATCCACCGCCTCATATTGATGGCACAAGTTTCCTGCCCGCTCGCTTGCGGTCAACAGTGGAGTGTGTGGTCCAGGCTTCCATAAAAGGCTGCTCCCTATAACTATCTAAAAGTATGGGGCTTTAAAATTAATGTTTTTCAATTTATTTTTACAAACGAGGAACAAAAATGTACTCTGTATAGCTCTGTTTTAGAAATACACAAAAAGGAAAGGCTGTATAATTTAAAATATTTCTTTAATATCTTAGCAAACATTTTCCATTTAATTAGTTGCCACAAAAAATGCTGTCAAAGTTGAAAGTTTCAGTATAATTGTTTGGGCCTTGATAATCATTTTGAAAATAGCCTAACTCAACGTGTAGACAGCCAAAATGCCAAGAGTTTTTTGGCGGGTGCTCCCTTAACCAATTTTATCTTGTGCCATTGTCCTTGCCTGCTGGTGTCGTTCGGGTTTTGTGTAGATTTTCAATTAATAACTTATATTTTCCTGGGTCAGGTGGGGCTGGGGGTTGCAGGTGGAAAACTGTCTGAAGAGTTTCCAAAGCTGTCAGCGACAGGTGCCCAGAAAATGGGAGCGAGAATTATGGACTCCTTTTACATTTTAATAAATAAGTGATATGAACCCATCTTAGGTAGAACATGTAGAATGTGGTATATTGGGGGAAAATATTATTTTTGCAGTTTGGAACTTTCAAGACCAAAAGTTAAAGCAAACATTTTTCCATAGTAACTTTTTACTTTTACTGCCGTAAATCAAGGAACGCAATTCGCCATTTCATTCGCTTGGAAACTATGTTTGTCGAAACGTTACTTTTCTGTTTTTTTTGGCAACTTTAAATCCGAATGGGTTTTTCCATGTCACCAAAAGTACGCCCGACGCACTGGTGGTCAAAATCCCGAAGGTTCCGAGCCATGGCCTGCGTTTATTCAGCATTTTTATTCATCTCTTGATGGCCAGGACGCCCCCATTGGATTTTCATCAGCAGTCGCCGCAGAACCACAGCCGTCGGCGGTTTGACATCATCGCCTTCTGCCGCTCCGAAGATTCATTCTGCTGTCCGTCAGCGGCTTTTTGCGCAATTTGCGGGCGGAGCAGTAAGCATGATTGATTGCCCTGGCGTTGAGTTTCACGCACGCGACAGCAGGCGCCCACAGTTTGCAGATGGGTGAAAATACAAGACACATGTCAACGCCGGAAAACCGCACGCATTTCCACATTTTACAGCACTTGTGGCTAAGAAATCCCGAAAATGTTCCCCATGTTTTCCAATTATTTGAAGAGTACGAGGCGTCAAATCAATAAGAATTTTTGGGCCAGCTCTCAAGCTAATTAGAAAAGTGTTTGACAAATTGTCGAACCAAAACGTATCGCGGGGGCCTAGGGAGTTAGCTAGTAGATTTGGATAGGTGCGTGGGTGCGGGTGAAAATTGAATCTTCGGGTGAATTCCCTGCATATTTGAGTGAATATTTATGACACAAAGTCGGTGCCATAAACACAGAAACTTGGTCCGGAGACTTCGTCGTCTGTGCACTCGTTCAAGGACACAAGTGGTCGTAAAGTCAAAGGCAAAGAGCGCTCAAGGACTTAACTTGGGCTTAGCCATGGCCAAAAACCGGCGTGCGGAGAGGTGGCCTGTCACTTAGCCATTTCCTCGGCCGAGAAAAGTTAAAGCCTCGGGCCATAGCTCGGTTTGGTTCGGTGTACGAGTCTAAAGATTCAGATTCAGTTTTCGGGACTTTGCATTGCAACTGGGACTCGTAGTCTCACAATCCTGTCAGCAAGGACGAAAACGATTCCCAAAATCCGCTTGTTATAAATTGTAATCCCGCAGAGGAGCTACAAAACTGAACGACACAAACGATTTCAAATTAATTACTCAAACTCCTCTTGATGTCCTTGGCCATCGCATCAAATTGCATTTGCCAGCTTACGCCTGCTGGGCGGTATTTTTCGTAATTGAGTCGGAATACAAAGCTAATCGCCCTTAAGCCACTGCTACTCGCTCGGCTTAAACTGATGTCCTGAAAGTATTGGAAACAAAAGTTAAAACGCTGGCTTTTGATTACCCATTGTATGTGACTAGGCCACCGCAAGTTTAAGTCCAACACTTGGGATTTTGTGGTGCGGATTTATGGATTTTTGGAACTACAGCATCCATTTGCTTGATTGTAGCCCATTTTATTTTGTTGGCTTTCCACTCGTCTAACCGTTTTCTAATCAGTTTAATTGATTGAACGTTTGCAGCGATTGCTCTGTGGGTTGAAAGTGGGAGTGATTGATTGCTTATCTCTAGTTGGTAGCTTCGAAATGGTTAGGGAATTATCATTAATTTGGGAATTGTAAATAATTTTAGCCACTCTTTGGCTTGTGTATGCACAAGTTTGAAACTGTAATTCAATTTACAAAATCAGACAGACTTTAGTTTTACTCGTAACATGTTTGCACTCTTGATGACTTTATGTCATGGTTTTCACTATTTTACCTTTCCAAATTACCTCTTACTTACATTTTTTATATACAATCGATTCGACAATCATCTTTCTTTCTCGTTTGGCATGATTTGAAATCATTAGTAGTTACATTGTGCACATTCAGTTAGAGTCTCATTTTATCCGCTGAAGAGGTTGCTTTAAGCAACTGTTGTTGCAACGTCCATAGGCGGCTTTGCGAACTTGTTGCAGTGGCCTTGAGTGCACTCCAAAGCTGGCACTTGAGGCGACACTTTGACCAACTTCAGAAACTGTTCGTTCTGGGCAATTAGTCAGGAAAAAGTTGACAACAAGCTTTGGCATGCAGGCAACGCTAAAAGGGAGAAAACTTTCTAATTTTCGTTTTATTCCCTCGCACAGACATCATCCACGGTAAGCTGTTCCAAAACACACGCATTCTGGAAGTGGACTACGCCCAGGGACGCGACATTCCGCCCGGCTATACTGGACAGATTGTGGAGACCCTTCAGGCGTGGGTCAACTCGTGCGATAGCGTCTCCAACTGCATTGAAATGCAGATCAAGTATGCCAATGCGGAGAAATCCAAGAGACTAGCGAACAAAGAGCGCGTGGATCAAGATGTGAGTTACTTGTTTAGAGAATCCTATACATTTTTTTATATTCTATATTTGGTTTCTTTTTTAATCCTAACAGCTCATCAATCTGAAGAAGGTCCTGAAGAGCCAGACTTCGGACAGTGATGAGAGCATGCAAATCGATACTCATGGGCCTGGAACCAGCGGCGGATTGGGTCAATCTGAGCTGCGCAAGAAGCCTTCGAAGTTGAGGAATCCTCGCAGTGCGGCAGGTGGGTATTGTAGCTTAAATGAAAGAGAAATCACTTTGAAGAACTTCAGCCACGCCGGCTGAAGCTTCATTACAAAGCCATTAGTTAGAAGCAGTCTCATTAATTGTTTTTCCTCGCCCGTTGGGTGTCCTTTCTTGTTACTCTGTTGCAGTTGGCCTGAAGTTCAGCAAGTGAGATGAGGCCGGTCGAGCGGATGAGGAGTCAGGAGCTATGCGTCGCTCAAGGTCACAGGCAACACCGCGTGGAACTTGAGGACCAGAGACCGCTCGACTGTCGGAGGAAACCCACTCCCACCAGGCTAATCACATCAAAACTCAATTGAATTCGCCAGAACAAATGCCGGCTGTCCTGTAATGGATTCCATAATTAGCATCAAATTGATCATCAATAAATAACAAATACAAAACCTGTAATAATAGAAACTATACATCAAAATGCATATTAATTAGACTATTTATTTATCCACATCTGCGTGATTGGCTCGTTTAAATGGGCCGCATGCCATTGTGCATGTGGGCAGCCTTAAACGAGCGTTTAATTAATGTCAAAATAATTCGGGTTTAGACAAATGTTTACTCGACACATACGTATAAATATAAATGTTGCGTGCTGTGGTCTCTTAGCACAAATGTAAATATTTCCCATCAGTTGTGTTATTTGTGGCTAATTACCTGCAGCAAATTTAATATATCCGTAGGTCCTTTTGATGGCAATTGGCAACCTTATTGGCACTTATGGTTGATGATTTTTTTAATTGTTTTCATTGAATTATGACCGCATATGGCGAGTTCACACGATTCTGATTAATTAAGTGAATTCTGCTCTGTTTGGTTATTCTGCTTGAATGCATGAACCTTTCCTTGATTAATAAATTGCTTCAAATTAGCAAATGTGAGCTGTGCAATCGCATGGAAGCTGTGTAAATAATAATAGTATTTCTAAGCAAGCAGAGGTATTTACTAATGAAACCAGCTGCACTGGACAAAGCTCTGCTCATTAGGTTCCTGCTCATAAGGTTCCTTGCAGAGCATTCAAACTTGTGTGCAAATATTGGAGCGCCTGAGTCTATGCTATCTGATTTCCCTACATTTCTCCAACCCCAGGGAAAATAAAGATAGTGCGGCGGAGAAAGTGAGAACAATAAAGCATTCTGTCAGATGTGGAAAATACTTTCCTCCATCAGGAGGGATGTCTGGTGGCAATTACTTAATTACGTTCCATACTTTTGTCTGCGAGGAAAGCTGTCGGAAACCACAGGAAATTTTTAGAGGGATGGAAACCGCTTTTGTTGGGCAAAACTTGCGAGCTGTTAATTTACATGTTTGCACTTAATATTGAAATTACTCCCCAGCAGTTATCAGGATGCAGCAGCTGTTGTTTAAAATTACTATAACAACAGACTGGCAGAAACTCATTAACTGCACAAAGCTGCAGTTTTTATGGAAGGACTTGACTCTCGTTAACGGGTAGTACTTAACCGTTTTAAAGATATTTATGCAAGATTATCTGGTAATCTTGATCGCCCTTGAACTTGATTTAGTAACAACAAAACATGTCATCGATCATTTGTTTATGTAAAACCTTCTCTTAGTCATTCTACGAATACCTAAATTTCCATATCGATCCCAAAGCCTTACCCCCTTTTCTTAGCAATTTGTTGCAGTTGGGATTCACTGGAAGGTTGTTTGTGGTTTTTAGTGAGAATTGCATACCGGATCCTAACTGGTTATCTTACCCAGAATTTTGTTATTGAAAAATAAGAACAGTAAAAATTATATTTTTAACAGCTTGGCGACAAATTTTTAGCTTTATGCCATCTCATTTTGTATCTTAGCGCTTTTTGGCATTCAGCTTTTAATTTTATTCTGATTCAATCTTCTTTGGCAATCGGGTTTCTGCCATGATAAATTATCGAAAATGTTAAAGTTGCCTTTTCGACAGGCTCTATTAAAATCTAGGGCAGAATAAATTTATTCAGAATATTGTGAACAAGTTTTTTAATATAACTAGAATGTTTCCAATCAGCTGTTTTACAAAGAAATTTGAATTATTGAAGTTGCATATTAAATAAAGGCCAAGGCAGTTTTGTTGACAGCTTTTTTTCGATGGAATATTTTAAATACTGATAATGGCTTCTGATGGGGGAGTGTCTTCTCGTTCAACTTGATATTCCAGAAGGTGGTTCTGTATTAGAAGACTTCTGAATTCAGGTCAAGTAATTTAAAAATTAGTCCCAGATTAGTATTTTAGTTACTAAGTTATTGTAGATTCCGTAATGGAGTTTTACTTCTATTTTAAGCTGAATGAAATTAACTGTTCATATGATTTATAAGCTTTTCTCTTTCTAAGACCATCTATATAGATGTCACCTATAAGATATAAAATCCATCCATTATACATTCCCTTTCGTTCGATACCCCCTGTTGTCACCTTTCGTTTTCTTTGTAACATCTTAACCTGAAATCCATTACCATATTGTTTTTAAGGTGCTAAAGAGTTAAGTAAATCGGAGATGACAAACGGGTTAAACGGGTCCAAAACCGTTACAGTTGAGTGCGAAATTCAAAGTCAAGGCCACGATCTGGTTTCTGCCGTTAACAATTGCGTGTATTTGAAAAATCATTTAGATTACTTAAGCTATTAGGTCGAAAGGTATCCAGGGAACAGTCCATTGTGCGATCCGCTTTCAGAGAGGAGTTCTAGTGGTGGTGCTCGGGTGCTGGTGGGTGGGATTCCAGCCAGGCGACGGCGCGGGCGATGGCCTCTGGGATTGGGGGAGGAGTGGGGATCCAGGCTCCGGATGGCTGGTATCCGTTCTCATCGGCCACATATTTGATCTCAACGTGCTCACCCTCGGGGGAGATCCAGGCGAAGTTACCGTGGATGTTGCCATGGACATCACCGCTGGCGGATTGCTCGATTCCGTTGGAGGTGTGCAGGCTGGAGTCGAAACCATCGGCACGGATATCATCGGAGCGGGAAACAACATCGGCGTGGACATCCTCGGAACGTCCCACGGAGTGGGGCACTGGAGGATTTGCCAGGGCCAGTCCCAAAACGGCGCAGATCATCACCTGAACAAAAGATAAGAGAGACCATTAGTTAGACATCCTGCAGGAGGGTGGACCATCCTGTTCGGCACTTACAAACTTGAACATTTTGGTTGATTTCTGTCTGGTCGAGAACGAACGTTGACTGATAACTGACTCTGCTCCGGTATAGCCTTTTTATATGATTGCAAACCGAAACTCCACCATAACAAATCGCTACATCTTGCATTCAATTGGGGGGCTGAGTTATGGGTTGACTTGGCGGATGCGCCCACAACCATTAAAAAAGCATCGTCACATGGCGACAGCTTAGCAAATGCCAAACAACGGGATAAGTACTATATATAATCGCTTAATAGATGCTAAAATGAAACATTCGCATCAATAAGGGGGCAAACGTGTCGAGTGGCATCCCGAAAGTAAAACGAGTTCGATCCGCCCCTTCAGTAAAGCCCCCTCCATATCCCCCAATTGGCATTGTCAAACCGTGAACCACTTTTGCAGAGCCATCATGATACCTCTCTGAGAAATCGAATCTACAGTCAGTCACTTCAAAAGACAGCACCGACTTCTTGGACACGATATTTTGTCATACTTGTTTAGCTATTTTACCACCTTGGCCATTGATTCTCTTTATCAATCCCCCTCGGCAATTGCGTTTCAACTTGTTTTGAAACAAATTGGATTGTTTTTAAATGAGTTTTTATGTAAATCACCTAGTATCTTCTCTTACTTTATATACCGAACTTAAGAGCAAATAATTTGAAGTTAATATAAAATTGTTGTGTGTTTTATCGTCTTATGTGTATTTCAATCAGCTAATGATTTCTTTATAATCATTTCTCTTAAGTAGTCATTAAAAAATAAAAATTGTACAGCTTTGTGCATTTTTTGGTTCAGACTTTCTAGCCAAAACCATAAGACATAGGACATAAGACCTTAATGTTTCTTAATATCATCGAATAGTATTTATGTTCATTAATGTTTAAAATTATCGAAAATATATATCAGAAGCAATTTTACTGAAACCCCCAACTTCAGAACCAAACATTCTGATTTATAACCCTTCCAGAAATATTTCCATATTAACTTCAGATTAATACCTTAAAATATTTGGTTATTTACTTAGGCTTAGTTTAAAAAGTAATTACATATTCTGTTGACATATAAGATAATTTTTTAAGATCAATCTTTTCAGGTAAATCTTAAAATAATCTTCATATTCCGTTTAAAAGAAGAATTTATCCGTCTTTATCGAATTATTTTCTATATAATTTTTAACAAATGAATTTCATGAAGAAACCAATTAAAATAGAAATAAAATAATTCATTTTTACTGCTATAAGCAAGTGCATGTATTTTTTTGAAAATCAAGAAGTACAGCTAAACAACTAGGTCGATATGTTTCGAGAGAACAGTCCAAGGATTGGTCCGGTTTCAGGGTCACGGGTCTTAGTGATGACGGGGATGCTCGGGGGCTGGAGGGTGGGACTGCAGCCAGGCGAGAGCGCGGACAATTGCCTCTGGGATTGGTGGAGGAGTTGGGATCCAGGCACCCGATGGCTGGTATCCGTTCTCATCGGCCACGTACTTGATGTCAACATGCTCGCCCTCGGGGGAGATCCAGGCGAAGTTGCCATGGATGTTGCCATGGACATCACCGCTGGCGGCTTGCTCGATTCCGTTGGAGGTGTGGAGGCTGGAGTCGAAACCATCGGCACGAACATCCTCCGATCGGGAAAGGACATCGGCGTGCACATCATCGGAGCGGGAAACTGGGGCCAGGGCGGTAGCCACTCCCACAACGGCGAGGATCATCACCTAAGTAAAGAAGATTTATCCAATTAAACTACAAGTTCATTTTTATCCTGAGAGCCACTCACAAACTTGAACATTTTGGCTGATTTCTGTCTGGTCGAGAACGAACGTTGACTGATAACTGACTCTGCTCCGGTATAGCCTTTATATATGATTCCTAATCGAGTTGCTTTCCAATATGAATTGCTTATTACCTTTTCGGCCGTGTTTAAGTTATCGGGTGCACAAAACGCCCATAATGCCAACAAAAGGCAGAGCCCATAAATTCTTCGCTTGACACTGCGATACAAATGTCAAAAAACAAGTCTCGCGCCGCTAAATAGATGCCAAAAAATGAAACATGCTTCAGTAGAACTTTCTGAGGTGTGGTGCATTTCGGGTTTTAAGATTTACTGACCATCGATGAAGTTTGGAAATGGTCAAGACTTCATCATGTTGTCAAGTCAGGATATGTTTAAGTCGGAAGATTGTGTACATTTTCTGTAGATTTTTAAAGTTAAAATGAATCAGCTGCATATCCACTTTCTCATTTTGTTTAATGCAAAACACATTAAATAAAAGTGTTAATTAATATCAGGCATCTGCATATGTAAACACATTTCCGTAAATAATACGAGTTATGTTTGATTTGGCTATTCATTAGCACAATTTATTATTTCCCAATATTTGAGAAGGCACTGTTAAATTTAATAACCGCAAAAAGCTTTCCACCAGAGTTGTCAATATACCCCCAGAATAGAAATTAGCAATTTTTGCTGCCTCCGAAAACTATGCTACATGTATTGATTTAAATTTCTATATTATTACGGATTAACTTATTTGTGAACGCAATTTAATACACATTATTATTTATTCAGTGTCTGGGTTCGTTTGCTTTGCATATCCGTAAAGCTCAGGCTTATATTTCGGTTAAATAAATTCCAAAGCATGCACAGAGGCTACTGAAAGTAGTTAAACCATTTTTCCTTTCCAATAGCCAGTTTTGAAAGAATTTCAATGCGATCTAATTTGCATGCCAGACGGTTTTTATTATTCGCATCATTTTGACTTAATTAAAAACGCACATTGCATCAGCATTTGATGATATAAAAACCCAAAATCGAGCATAGATTGTCATCAGTCTCAGAAGTTTTCTAGTCCGACAATCAAACCAAATCATCATGTTCAAGATCGTAAGTATCTCCTTAAGGAATATCGGATATAGTACGCCATCTAATCCTGGATTATCCTAGCTGCTTGTCTGCTCTCTTGCCGCCCTCGTGGCCGCTAACGCCAATGTTGAGGTTAAGGAGCTGGTCAACGATGTCCAGGCCGACGGCTTCGTCAGCAAGTTAGTCCTCGACGACGGATCTGCCTCCTCGGCCAGCGGTGATATCCATGGGAACATCGACGGAGTCTTCGAGTGGATCTCCCCCGAGGGTGTCCATGTCCGTGTGAGCTACAAGGCTGATGAGAACGGATACCAGCCCCAGAGCGACCTCCTGCCCACTCCCCCACCAATCCCAGCTGCCATCCTCAAGGCCATCGCCTACATCCAGGCTAACCCCAGCAAGAACTAAGCTACTCCACCGACTAGGAAATGAAAAGATTCTAAACAGTTTGCTTGAGTACGGACTTCACTCAACTGCTGTTTTAAACTTAAGAAAATGTTATCGAATTCGAAAATAAATTAAAATTTGCAACCTTAAATAACCAATTTTTCTTTATTTAAATAAGATTTGGACTTTTAAGAGTACAATTTTTAGTATACCAAAAATGAGTTTTTGGGGACGGTAAAAAATTGTCTTACAAACAAAATGTGTACGAGTATATAAATATGATTTTGATATTATGAAACCAAAGAGAAATTAAACTGAAGTTGATGGGAAATTTGTTTGTTTCTCTCATATCTTTCCAAGTAATTCATATAGGAAGGCAAAAATATTATTTTTTACTTCTATTCTTATGCTGATGAAAAATACTCGAATATGCGCTTTTTCAAGTTGCAGATAAATACATTTAGTTAAAGCGATAAAAAATGTATATTTATTTAAATAGCAAAAAAGATTGTAGTCTTTATAAGCATCACAGCTTTATATTGAAGGCATTATTTATTTTTTTTTAGTATGTATGGCTTTTAATAAAACTGTATAATAAAGCTTATTTCTGAGTTCAGAATAATAAGCTAACGAACCCAGTAAGATCGCTGAAGAGCGAAGTTCTCCAAACTCCGAAAAGTATGCTCCTTAAAAAGTTACGAAAGAAAGTTATAATTTTCCATTTAAATGGACCATTATCAACTAAAACTGTGTTTTTATATAAATGGTAATCATTTTTTTAGTAAATCTTTATTGTGTTTGGAATAGGAACCAGTGTGAGAATTGTCATTTCAAAATTGCCTTGCTTTTAGGCTCAAAGTAGCATACATTCATTTTGCCTCGGGCAGTGCCTCTGTTTAGTTCTAGAAGTTAAAAGTAAATAATCAGCTCTAAAATTAAATTGCTTTGCGTTTGGATAAGGATCCTGTGTGAGAAATTTCAGTTCAAGATGGCTCAAGATGGATCGCTTTTAGATATCATTTATTCGTCGTTAAAACAAAATTATTCAGTGTGAAAAATGTCGGTATAACATCTATTCAAAAGTATTGTTTGGATAAGGAGCCAGTGTGAAAATTGTCAGTTCAATATGGCGTTGCTTTTAGGCTTAAAAATTCAGTTCTCGAAGTAAAAACAAAATTTTCTGTTCTCCAATAAGGGATGGCATTTTCTTTAAAAAAAACTGAAAGATAATCCGAAATGAAAAAAAATCACTTTTAATATGATTGACAAGTAAAAACCATACATTGAAGGTTGTAAGTAAAAATTACATTACAAATTTGGCTCTATAGCAGAGGAAAGACGCTATTTTCTTTGATAGCTGGAAGCGCATGTTCGCCATCTTTTTCCTGCATCTTGGGAGTATTATCAATATGCCTTATGACGGCATTACTTCGGCTGGGTTTCAGCTTCCTGGTGGACGTGCTATGATGCACACAAGTGGCTTTTGTTCCCTTATTATTTTTATGGCTTATTCCAGCGTCTGATAAAGAAGAAGAATTATTCATATGTTAAAATGTTCTAATATTTTGGAATATATGGTGCTAAAAAATACAAAATGTGATTTATTTTACGTTGAAAAGTAAGAACCATACATAGTAGACCGTAACAAATGACATTAATGACATCGTTCCTTTTTTTTCTAGCTGGAAGCTTTATCACTTTTCCTGCATCTTATGATATTATCCGTATGCCATTATCATTGCCACATCCACGGCTTCTTCGAAAGTCTTGCAACGCGATTTCTTCTCCAAGTCGTTGGAGAAGAAATCATTGTGCAAGACCCTCGAAGAAGCCGTCGAAAAGCCGATGATACGGAAACCCGTCTGGATAAAATTCGTATGATTAGATCAAATTATGCCAATAAGGTGGTGGCTTTAACCTTTTTTGAGTGACGTGGTTCTAGGAATATTTTCAGAATAATTACGGTAGCAATTTGCATAGACCAGTGAAAGCAAAACGAGTGCAGCAGACGATTTTTATCGCCATCGAGCATGTCACATCCAACCTGTCCGCAAAACCAAATGAGGCTTATGTTGGCCGAAATGTTAATTAAAAACGGGTTGCACCAGCTTCGGGTTTTGCGGGTATAAAAACCGAAAATCGTTCCAGAATCGGCATCAGTCTCACGAACTCTCTAGTCTGACAATCAAACTAAATCACAATGTTCAAGATCGTAAGTATCCGGTGATCATTTTCGGATGGTTGTTAGATAAGTAATCTTGGATTATCCTAGCTGCTTGTCTGCGCCCTTGCCGCCCTGGTGGCCGCCAACGAGAACGCCGAAGTCAAGGAGCTGGTCAACGATGTCCAACCCGATGGCTTCGTCAACAAGTTGGTCCTGGACAACGGTGTCGCCTCTTCGGCCACTGGAGATGTTCACGGTAACATCGATGGAGTCTTCGAGTGGATCTCCCCCGAGGGCGAGCACGTCCGTGTGAGCTACAAGGCCGATGAGAACGGTTACCAGCCCCAGAGCGACCTCCTGCCCACTCCTCCTCCAATCCCAGAGGCCATCCTCAAGGCCATCGCCTACATCCAGGCCCATCCCAGCAAGGAATAAGCGATCATCTCTCAAGCGATAAGGACTCAATCTCGAAATGGAGGACCAAACTCCTCTTACTCTTAGAATTTAAACAGCATGCTGACTTAAAAGGTTGGACTATCGAATTGTGAAATAAATTTTCGATATTCTTTGGCAACAAAATCGTCTTTATTTAGATTTGTTTCTATATCTCTAACGGGAGTACGAGTTGCTTGGGTCCGATGATTTATTTGGATCGAGGTAATAAAGCTTGCTCCAGACTATCACGCTCTGTCTGGATGTTACTTGATTGATCTTGGAGAAGAGTAACCTGTTTAATTAGCGATTTACCAAGTGGGAAATATCAAACAGCTTTGGGATTATTATTTAGTCTGGTTTAATCAATGCATTCAAGTTAACAGTAAACTTTAATGTGAAAAAAGTAACTCATTTGAAAAAGTTATCTACCTGTCGCACTGTCTTAAAGGCCCTGAACTTAACTTCAGTAATTTTGTGACATATTATGCAATGAAATAAAAACGAAACTGGTAATTAGCACTGAATTGATAATTGCGAAGACAATGGGTGGAGACTGATATATAAAATGATATATAAATAGGTATTGAAAATAAAAGTGTTTGTAGGAAAAACAAACGCTGTCATTTGTTTTAAAACTTTATTATCTTTTCAAATTAGAAAATCTTCACATATGAACTTTATATTATATATCCAGAAAAGGACACATAAAGAACAGGTGTTTTGTGGTTTGAAAATTATATCATATTAGCTTCTGTATCTCGTGATTTGCACATCCAATTTTTATGACTAGTGTGAACTTCATTTTGTTGTGCAATAAAAATAAAAACCAAACTGGTGATCTGCTCGGAATTAATATTAATTAGCAGCGAATATACGAATGCATACGAATTAACATGAATTATTTGGCAAGTCAACTTTGATAATTTGCGAGGAAATAATGATATGAACTATGCCAAACGGGTTATTCAGTCTAGAGTGGAAAAAATCTTCCATATGCCTAAATATATTATTAAGTTAACATATTAGTTTTATTTTCTGGTTATACGGGTTTTTATATATTCATCGTTTTCTCAGTCTGATTTGTATGCCATTTTCCGATTTAAGCGTCACTCGAATATTTAATACAGGATCGTATTCACTTTGAGGTACACAGTTTTCACGGGAATGATCATTGATCCCTGGAGGAAGTCCATCAACGGCTGGCAGGATTTCAAAGCGACGCAGCAACTGGGAGAGCAGAGCCTTCATTTGGTACATGGCAAACTTTTCAGCTACAAAAATATAGTTTTATAAATATATGAATTAGTTTGTTATATAATCCAAGATAAGCCTACCAATACAACGTCTGGGACCTGCACTAAATGGAACACTCTTAAAAGCCTCTATGCCTACATTTCCATTAGCTTTCTCAAATCTCTCCGGCCGGAAAGTGCAAGGCTCATCGAAATACTTTTCGTTGTAACCCATGGCAATGAGGCACATGATCACCGTGGTGCGCTTGGCCACCTTGGTGCCATCTGAAAGTAATCAAGATTGATACTAAGTAATAATCTAATACTTTGTAACTACTCACTGATATCGATGGACTTTCTGTTAGTTCTAGCAATCAGTGGTACGGATGGATACAAGCGCAGGGTCTCTCGAATGATCAGCTCCAGGTAGTACATCTGATCCAGACTAACCAAGTCAGCTTCTCCAGATAAATTCTTGGCAAAAATGCGCTGCTGTTCCTCGAAAGCCTTGCGCTGAATCTCCGGGTGACGGGATAGAGTATACAGAGTGAAGGATATGGCAGCCGCAACGGGATCGTGGCCCTATAATATTTTAAGTAAGAAATAACATTCATTTCTTAAAACTATTTTTATATTGAACTTACCGTAAATATAAACGTAGACAATTCCTCGATAATCTCCCGCTCCTTAAGGCCCCTGCCATCGAGTTTGGCGGTCAGCAGAACGTCGAGGAAGGGCTTATTGATTGGCGCCGCGTGCTGGCTTGAGTTTTCTCCGACCAACTGGTGCCGACGTTGGGCGATAATCTACGAGCAGATAAACTTTCGATTTTTAAACGTTTCTCGCACCTATTTCAGCCCGAATTTACCCGGTTCAGTTCGCTCCGGAGGAGCGATAGAGCCCGCCGCTGCTTCATGTAGTAGGAGGTGAGTCGGAAGAGGGCGTCAAAGCGCTTCACAATGCTGAAGGTGCGCTCCTGCACCACATCGCACAGACTGGGAAATGGAAAGGAGGGACTTAGGAGCTTAATCCCAAGATTTCTCAGCTTGAACTTACTCCTTGATGGCGCCATGCAAATCCGAGGGCTCTCCATTCAGCGAACTGCTAGTCTGGCCAGTGGCGTTTTCTAAAGGCAAAAATAGTAGAGGGAAGAGCCGGTGAAAATTTGCAGCTTCAAGCTGGCTAAATGAACCCGAACGAATCTAGGGAAATCTCAATAAATTACCAACGGTTAACAGGAAAATTCTTCAAAATCATTTGCCATACAACATGCAGCTGAGTGTGCTGTATCGTCGAGGGCAAGTACCTCGACCGCGAAACTTTTCCGCCCGCACAATCTGCGGCACTTGTACCCATTTTCTATGCAATAAATCTTATTTATAAAACGTTCATAATAAATTACAAAAAATAAACGAGCGAAACGCCCAAAAACCGAAACTCGGCCCACAAAAAAAAAATGTCATGACAAATGTGTAAAGTTTGGCAACCATACACAGAGAGGAAATATAACTGCCTTAACTTTTATATATAAATTATAAAAAAGGTCGCTTAAAGAGAGATAAAACTATTAAAAAGCATATTCCAATCAGTTAACTATTAAAAATTAGCCATAATCGGAAAGAAGTTTAAAATTGAATTATTTAGAAAATACATAAAAACTGTGACTAGAATTTTTTGCAGTGCATGTACATTGCCACTAGAGTTTTTGAATTTTTAAACGCAACCCGGGGTTCGATGAGAAAATCCCGCTTCCACTTACCACACACAATATCCAGTGTACACTTGGCAACCAGCTCCTGGGCATCGAAGATTTCCTGCGTTGCCGACAGCTCGTCGAGCTTCTGGACGAACTGTCCGCCCGTCCGATGGACCACTCGCAGATAACCCTCGATGGCGGGGCGTTCGAATGCGGGAATATACAGTTTCTGATGCTTCAGCCAACGGGCTCCGGAACTCGTCAGCAGGCCATCCCCCAGCCAGGGTCTCAGAAAGGAGTACAGGTGCTCCTTGTATAGCAGCGTTGAACTTGACAAAATGTTCTGCAGGGCAAACACAATGGGTAGGTTCGTGATGGTAGTGATGTTTAGCAAGGGTCTTAGGGGGGGGAGGGACTAACCTGAATTTCCGCCGGATCGCTTAGCATCATGTGGTACTGGAGGAAGACCAGGGAACGGAAACCCTGGAAATCATATTTCCGACAATATTGCAAAACCTTTTTGGGGTATTCTGTGGGAGAAAAGGTAAGGAGCTTGTCAGCCACGACCACTTTAATTATCAGGTAAAAGTTCCTAGTTTGCCAAGCTCTAGAGTTTGGGCCGGATTTACAGAAAATTAAATTTCAAGTTGCCTTGTTCGGTAGTTTGTAATCAACCTGATTTGCTGTGCCACAAATATGCTTTTGTTAGATTGCTTGCCAAAAGTACTTGAAAACCTATAGGGGTCCGGTCACAGATGGGTATCGAATGTGTTTTAATTAATCGCAGTTCCTTTCAGGACTCCGGACCAGACAATGAAAGTATATTAACTCTGCACTTATTCAAATCTCTTCTTTCAACTCTATGGAAGAGCAATCTAAGCTGGCATAAAAATAACAAAATAATAACAATCAGATAACAATGTGCAGCTCATGCTTGTCCGTTCTGAATTGAAGGAGCAACCGAGCAGGGAAGCAGAATGATATCATCGAAAAGTGTAGTGCACCATCGCTTTTTCCTTCTCCCTCCCCTCGGGCATTGTGCATTTGAAATGATTACTTTAGGCACGTGCAGGGCGGGGCAGGGCTGTGGCTGTGGGCAGGGAAGGACGGTAAAAACAAGACCGAATTTATTCAGCTGTGCGAAAGGAGGGCACTCGGGAAATGCGCACAGAACTTGATGAAAGCTGTAGCAAATATTACAATAAATACGTCGAGCAAGGCAGATACAATTTGAGATGAAATCCAAATGTGCAACGCGATACCAACGGGAATTGGACGCATTGAATCGCTGCAAATACCTTCGGTTCTTGAGGGATTCGATCAGACAAATGACTTTCGCATTAAACGTTAAAGAGTTCATAAATATAGGCAGGCCACTACCACCGACCACGTACTCACCGTCTGGCTTGAGGCCAAATTGAAAGAGGTTTCCCACGAAGGGATATGGTGTGGGTCCCGGGATCATCTCCATAATCCCGGCCATGTGGTCTATGTAGTTGAATATCCTCACACCCTTGAACACCAAAATGGTGACCAATAAAATGGCAATCGCTATCAGAAACATTTTCTCGGACAACTTTTCTCTTTCGCTTTACTATCCAGACTGGTTTGTCCAGTTTTTGTGGCAGATTATTAGGTGACCAATTTCCTAGCCGATAACCCCTTTGATAGCTTATCTACCTCAACTTTTCGCATGGTTTTTTTTTGTGTTTGCAATCGTTACAAATAACATTATCAATACCCCAATTAACATAGTGCTTTATTGCTGTCGAAAATTGATAAATGACATTATACTTTGCTACCTGATGGGAATCGACTGCAAATTGACTCACTGAATTGGTGACGTGTGGGTCTAAAGGCTGATTTGGTATCACCAGAAGATATGGTGCCAATAAACGATTGCTAATCGGCTGCTGATAATGAATTAAGGCGGTAGTCCAAACATTTGACAAGTAAATGTATATGGAGCATTAGTTAGATTCTAGCATGGGCGTCGAAAGGGGGTTTACTTTATAAACTAGTAAAAGAATAGTGAGTACATCTTACCTCTGGGCTTCAGGCCAAACTCAAAAAAGTTTACCACAAAGGGATATGACTGAGATCCCGGCAGACATTCCAACATCCCAGTTATGTAATCTATGCAGTTGAATATTTTAACACCTTTAAACATGTAAATTATGGCCAATGTTAAGGCAGTTGCTAAGAAACACATAAAACACACAAAGAGAATGCCCAAAATAATGGCCACTAGAATAGCAAAAATTATAAGAATCATTCTGCTGGCCAACAGTTCACTTTCGCAATTCTATTAACACTACTTCTTCGGCAATGTAAAATCAGAGCTTTGGGAACCATTTCATTATCTTCCTCGAAGTTATGCATTGGTTTCATACGCTTGCTACAACTTAAAATGCAGTTGAACTTGAAATTCTGACAATATTATTGCCAAAGGTCCCTTTGATAAGATATCTACCGCCATATACTTTATACTTTCATGCTTATGGTATCAGATAACTTATATAGGATTATTATCAAAGGAACTTTAAAGAAACAAGCTGGTAACTAGATTGTTGTGCTATTTTTATTTTTTGTGTTTTAATCTAATCATAAGCTACAGTCAAACTTCCAAAAGTGCTAAAATAAAGAGTGAAAGTAACTCATAACTCAAAGGTGTTTTTAAACACTTTTACTTTTGGTTTGCTCAAAGCTAATGTAGATCAACTGAATTGCTGAGTAGTAAAATATCAACAAAGTTTTATTTAATTCGACACCCAAATGTATATTTCAAGTAAAATAAAAATCTACTTTACACGACTCTACATTGTTAACTCGTCTCTGATAAGCTTTAAAATATGCGTGGTTTATACTCTTCGCTGAAACTCTGTTTTACTCTCTTTAAGTCCCAAGCTAGAGGCCATCCAAAACTCTCTGTTGATAAAGTATTTAGACTATGCCGGTCGTTCCATTTATTATATTGCGAGCAGAAATTATAAAACGATTACTTATATCAGTAAAATATAACATTGTAGCCGTGAATAATAAAACACTTTGTAAACACTAAGGGAGCAAACATTAGTTGCTCTTTTTTGTGAATAAAAAGATTACCATATCAAAACGAAGAGGATCGTCTCTTAAAAACCTGATTTCAAATCAACAAGTCATGCTGAAAGCCCCAAAATATTTACTTATATTCGGGAGGCTTTGGCTGGATTCCCATTAATAGTTAAAAATCGAGAGCGAAATGTTGAGGAGCTGACCGCTATCTCTCGTATTTAAAGCTGCAGTCCGCCCAAAACAACTCTCATATACAAAGTGTTTCGCGGGCGAAGCGGTCGTCTTGTCGTCACTTGCGATCGAAAATGTGGTTCGTGTTGTATATTATTTTGGCATTGCCTCTTCTGTTGGCGGCATACTTAGAGTTGAGCACGTTCCGCCGTAAAAAAGTGTTAAATAAGTTCAATGGTCCCCGTGGACTGCCCCTCGTGGGAAATGCTCATCAAACGGGCAAGAATCCCACAGGTGGGTATCCTGTCAATTTCAATAGAAAACGTTAAAAAAATAACCGAGAGTACACACCCATAATCACCCATCTCGAATAGCGTTGTGACTGAGTTAACTGCCCATTAAATCGACTCAGCGGCAACGCTATTCCAGTTAGGTTATTTTGGTCAAGCGACTTTACGACCGGAAAATTGGGGTGTTGAAAATATCAGATATTTGTCGGCCAGGCCAGAATCTTGGAGCTCATCATATAGACTTTGATTTGTGTTGTTGCGTAATTAGCAACTACATATATTGCATGCACGTAGGGCAGTGCAGTTATGGATACATAAAGTTGCGTGCCAGATACAGACAATAATATAATATCATTAGTGTCATACTGATAGTGTTCTGTGATCCGCCTAGTAATTAGTTTTCTTTACACTCATTTAGAAATTCTGGATAAAGTTTTCGAATGGTGGGATCAGTTTGGCAGGGACAACTATGTCTTCTGGATTGGCTCATACTCAAATGTGCTGGTCACAAATCCCAAGTACATGGAGGTAAATTTGCAAGATAATTATTAATTTCAATTCAAGATGACTTAACCCTTTTCGTACTTCATCAGTTTATACTTAGCAGTCAGACGCTGATCTCAAAGTCCGATATTTATAAATTAACCCATTCCTGGCTGGGACTGGGACTTCTGACCAGCACTGGCAGTAAGTGGCACAAACACCGAAAGATGATCACACCGTCGTTCCACTTCAACATCCTGCAGGACTTCCATGAGGTGATGAACGAGAACTCCAACAAATTTATTAAGCACTTGAAGAAGGTTGCTGCCGGGGATAATATCTTCGACTTCCAGGATCAAGCACATTATCTAACCTTGGATGTAATTTGTGACACTGCCATGGGTGTGTCCATCAATGCCATGGAGAATCGGAGCTCTTCTATAGTCCAGGCTTTTAAAGAGTGAGTTCGTTTACATATAATATAAAGAGATTATCAGTCTATAACTTTTCCCATTATTACAGTATGTGCTACAACATCAACATGAGAGCTTTCCACCCCCTTAAACGTACGGATCTACTGTACCGATTTGCCCCTGAATATCCGGCGTATAGTAGATCATTGAAGACCCTTCAGGACTTCACCAACGAGATCATCGCCAAGCGAATTGCAGTCCACAAAGCGGGAGAAGTTTCGACCAGCCAAGGAGATGAGTTTACTCGCAAGAAAATGGCCTTCTTGGATACTCTGCTATCGTCCACGGTCGATGGCCGACCTCTGACCTCTACTGAGCTGTACGAAGAGGTCTCAACCTTCATGTTCGAAGGCCACGACACAACCACCTCCGGGGTAGCATTCGCCGTGTATTTGCTCTCCAGACATCAAGATGAACAGGTTAAGCATTACCAAATTAACGATATATGTATATAGAGGTAATAGACTTTTTCTTAAACAGCGTAAACTGTTTGAGGAGCAACGTAAGGTCATGGGTGATTCTGGATTGGAGCGCGATGCCACTTTCCAGGAAATCTCCCAAATGAAATACTTGGATCTGTACATAAAGGAGGCCCAGCGTTTATATCCCAGTGTACCCTTTATCGGGCGTTATACAGACAAGGACTATGTGATTGGTAAGTCTCGATTTTACCCATTAAAAATCAGTTAAATTAAATTTCATTAACAGATGGTGATCTCGTACCCCAGGGTACCACTCTCAACTTGGGTATCATAATGCTGGGATATGAAGAAAGAGTTTTCAAGGATCCTCACAAATTTCGACCAGAACGATTTGAGCTGGAGAAACCAGGACCGTTCGAGTATGTGCCCTTCAGTGCAGGTCCACGAAACTGCATTGGGCAGAAGTTCGCTCTTCTGGAGATCAAGACAGTGGTATCCAAAATCATTCGGAATTTCGAGGTTCTGCCAGCTGAAGATGGACTTGAATCTAAGGATGGCTATGTAAATACCACCCTGGGATTACCTCCAGCAGAGAGGAAAAAGCGCGATGCATATCGTCACAAATATGATCCATTACTATCCGCTGTACTAACACTAAAATCCGAAAATGGTCTCTACATTCGATTGAAGGAAAGACACTAACACCCAATTTGATTGATCTCGAAGAGAGAAATCCTCATCTCTTTGTTAAGTTCGGTGCTTGTTATTTGTTTACCTAATTTTGGATTTGTTTTAAGTCTAATTTCCCCGCAGAATCAATTATTAAGAAGCTGTTAATTAGGGGAAGTAGAACAAAGAAATAAATGAAAAACGAATTTTCAATAACAGGTTTTACAATTTGGGTTTGGTTTTATAGCATTTCGGAACTTTATGAAATATCTATATTAGTTTACAATAATCCTTTTTGTTTGGGCTTTTAAAAAACATTCTGACATTCTGCTTATATAAGTTATAAAAAGTATATGCTTATAACCTGCATTACCTTAAATTGGGCTATAATGTTCAGATAAGCTGTCTGAGAGACACAGAACTGCGAGAGGCAGAGAACATTTCTGGCCAACCGGTTGGAGTATTTAAAGCAGAGAGTCGACCACTTTTTACTCAAATTCGATTCACTCGCTGCACTGATCGGTTGGTTGTCTGTGCTACTATTAAAAAATGTGGATCGTACTTTGTATTCTTCTTGGCCTTCCTTTGGTTTTGGTGGCCTATTTTGAATTAAGATCTCTGAGGAGAAAACTAATGCTAAACAAGTTCCAAGGGCCAAGTATGTTGCCCGTGGTGGGAAATGCACATCAGATGGGAAAGACGCCTACAGGTAATCACAGTATTATTGTGCAATCCAGACGAATCTAATTATGACTGGAGATCAAAGTCCCAACTAGATACCATCGCAACTTGGCTGTGTTCTATTGTGTACAATGAAAACACTGGGACCTAGATCATAATCTGGTCATGTATATGTGAATATGTGTGATTTAAAAAAACAAAGGTCACTTTGGTGCAGTTGAAATTAGTTTTACTCTAGCTAGTCTCTCACATGTGGAAAGTAATCAATAGTGTACGGAAATGCATGTGAGAAGTCTGATCACTGATCTTTTCCCTTTATAAATTAGAAATATTAAACCGATTTTTTGGCTGGTGGCATGAGTATGGAAAGGATAACTTTCGCTACTGGATTGGTTTCTACTCGAACATCATGGTCACTAGCCCCAAGTACATGGAGGTAAGTTTGACTCGTTATTATTAAGAATATCATTCGGGATACAATCTAGTTTTGAACAGTTTATCCTCAGCAGTCAGACTCTGATATCCAAGTCGGATGTCTATGATCTCACACATCCCTGGCTGGGACTGGGACTTCTGACCAGCACTGGTAGTAAGTGGCACAAACACCGCAAGATGATCACTCCGGCCTTCCACTTCAACATCCTGCAGGACTTCCATGAGGTTATGAACGAAAACTCCAGTAAGTTCATAGATAAACTAAAGAATGTGGCGGACGGAGACAATATCTTCGACTTCCAGGAGGAAGCTCATTATCTGACCTTGGATGTTATCTGCGACACTGCCATGGGAGTGTCTATCAATGCCATGGATAACCGAAGCTGCGCTGTTGTACAGGCATTCAAAGAGTAAGTACATAGTAAATGTTATATGAATATAAAATAATATTCATAATAATTTGTATCATTTGATATAGTATTACCTACACTATCAAAATGAGAGCCTTTAATCCCTGGAAGCGCAATGAATATCTCTTTCGCTTGGCCCCTGAATATCCTGCTTATAGTGAGACTCTGAAAACCCTGCAGGACTTTACCAATAGGATAATAGCAAAGCGAATTGAGGCTCGAAAATCTAGCGTGGATTCAAAAAGCCAGGAAGATGAGTTCTCCCGCAAGAAGATGGCTTTTTTGGATACTTTACTTTCATCCACAGTCGATGGTCGGCCATTGACTTCCCAAGAGCTTTACGAAGAAGTATCAACATTTATGTTCGAGGGTCACGACACAACCACATCTGGAGTTGGGTTTGCAGTCTACCTGCTCTCCAGGCACCAAGATGAGCAGGTTAGCTAATTACCAACAAAACGAGTTTTGAGATCACTTTCGATATAATTTTTTGACTTACAGAAAAAGTTATTCGACGAACAGTGTGAGGTGATGGGTGAATCAGGACTTGGATCTGTTTATAAAGGAGGCGCAACGGCTATACCCAAGTGTACCCTTCATTGGTCGTTTTACGGAGAAGGATTATGTGATTGGTAAGACTTTTAACAATGTAAATAAGAGCTTTATAAGTAATCATGTATCTATTTTTAGATGGCGACGTTGTTCCGAAAGGCACCACTTTAAACCTGGGTCTTCTTATGTTGGGATACAATGATCGTGTTTTCAAGGATCCCCATAAGTTCAGACCAGATCGATTTGACTTGGAGAAACCGGGTCCCTTTGAGTACGTTCCCTTCAGTGCAGGTCCACGAAACTGCATTGGTCAGAAGTTTGCACTGCTGGAGATCAAGACAGTGGTGTCCAAGATCATTCGAAATTTCCAGGTACTGCCAGCCCTGGATGAGCTGGCTTCTAAGGATGGGTATATCAGTACGACCTTGGGACTTCCTCCAGCAGAGAAGGAGAAACGCGATGCTCATATCCATAAATATGATCCGATTTTATCGGCTGCGATGACTCTGAAGTCTGAGAATGGTTTGCATCTGCGCATGAAGCAGAGACTTTAAATCTGATAATTTGTAAAAAAGTAATTACATACTTTTAGGCTCTATACTGTTAACTAAACTCTGTTAAGTATTTTTATAATTAACATTTCTTTAACGTCACTATTTTATTATCTCTTAAGTAAATAAAATCTGGTTAGACTGCCACAAGAACGGTGCCTACATAGGGATTGGCCACGAATTCCGAGGGCTTGATGACATCTCCATCGATATACTGGGACTTCAGTGAAGTGGTGATGACCTCTGCCTGGGTGCCCAGTCCATAGTACTTGGTCAGGTCGAGGGTCTTGGAGGTGCTGCCCAAGTTGAGAACGATCACATACAGATCGCTATCGGTCTTTTGGCTGTTTGGGTAGAAAATATTTATATTAGTTAAAATTATAGATTGCAGTTTATAATTAACTTACCGTGAGTAGATGATCACATCATCGTCAATAGCCTGAATGTTGAGTTCTCCCTGGCGGAAGGATGGCTCCTTGCGGACTCGTACCAGCTTCTTGAAGATCTGGAGGTGGGAACGAGGGGCACGCAGCTGCTGCAGGGCATTGTTAGTCTTGTAATCATCAGCCACTGGAAGCCAGGTGTGATCGGCACTGGTGAAGCCTAGAAATAAGATAGTAAGCATTGTTATCAATAAGCGTTAAAAACAAAATAATTTATACTAATTTAACCTTAGAATTTTCTATCAATCTACATTTTTGGTTAATAAAAAAGATAATTATAATCTAAGTGTGACAAATACATTTCTTATCGGAATACACAAACCTACTAGCCGCTCAGGAACGTCAAACTAGCAAGTCAGATTGATTAGTTATTATTTTTAAACGCTTTGGTATGATGATAGATGCATTAGGATATAAACAAAAATATTCAATAACAAATACATATCTGAACTTAAAAAAGTGAAAGTAAATACCTGACTTGGAAGAGGCGTCCCACTGGTACGGAGATCGAGCTGGATCACGCGAGCGGGCATAGTAGTTGTCCGGATCGGAGTTGCACGCATTAGGATCCACGGTGTCCTCCCAGCTGATCCAGACATCGGTCATACCCAGTTCCTCGCCATTGTAGGTAACCGCATGGCCAGGCAGAGTCTGAAGCAGGATGTTAATGAGATCGGTGCGCTGGATTCCGAATCGGGAGGCCACTCGCTTGTTGTCGTGGTTGCCCAACACCCAGTTGGCATAGACACCAGCGGGCATGGAATCCATCCACTTCTTAATGTGATCCACATAATCCCCAGCCTTCGAGGCGTTGTTGATGTTCGAAAGGAAGTCAAAGTTGAACGGAATATGAGAGCCATTCCTAACTCCGTTGCCGTAGTATGTCATGAGATTGTCAAAACTGGTGTACGCCTCCGTCATTAACAGCCTCTGATCTCCACCGTTCTCCGTATGAAATTCATCCACCAACTCACGCCACTGGTACACCATGTCAATGGTCTCCGGCTGATCCTGAGTGTAGATGTGCTGCGTGTAACAATGATCATCCGGATCGGGACAGGTTGTGGGGTCATTGGTCAGCGGCTCATCGGGATACTGGTTGTACCGATCAAGATCCACCTCAAATAAATAGGGCACGGCATCGATACGGAAACCGGAGACTCCCTTGGCCAGCCAGAAACGAATCACATTCTTCATCTCATTGACCACGGCAGGATTGCGATAGTTAAGATCAGCCTGCTGAATGGCAAACTGGTGGAGGTAGTACTGCTGGCGCACATCATTCCATTCCCAGGCACTGTAGCGGAACTCGGAGTTCCAGTTGCTTGGCGGCTCACGCTCTCCCGTCTCATTGTTTACCTTGCCATCATGCCAGATATAGAAATCCTTGTAGGTTGGATCACTGTCCACGGACTTGGTAAACCATTCGTTCTCAGTGCTCGAGTGATTGGGCACAAAGTCCAGGATGATCTTAATGCCCACCTCCTTGGCCTTGGCAATCAAGTTCTCAAAGTCCTCCATGGTTCCGTACTCAGGGTGAATTGTGTAGAAATCGGAAATGTCATAGCCAAAGTCAACCATTGGTGACTTGAAGATGGGCGAAAGCCAAGTGGCAGTGAAGCCGATGTCCTTCAAGTACTGCAACTTCTCGGTGACGCCGTTTAGATCGCCAATACCGTCTCCATCGGAATCCCGGAAGGAGCGCGGATAGATCTGATAATAGTTTCCACTTTCCCACCACTCGGTGGCTCCCACGAAGCCAACGATGGCCAGGAAAAGGCACGCAGCTGATACCGGGCGCATTTTGTTCGATTTTGTTCGGACTAGAGAGCTGACAGGTGCCTTTTATACCCCTCGATAAGGTGGCTCCTATCGAGATCTGACCAACTTGGAGTGGCCAGTTGAATTGCTGTGCAAACAGCTCACATGAGTTCTCAGGGTGCTCAAGTCTGCGAACCAAAATTGTCATTGTTTTCGTACTCCCAGCAAAGTTTTACGTAAAGCGATTAACCCACTCTCCCGAATGCCTTTTGATTGCTGGAAAAATACCGATTTTCTTGCCAAGTATTTTCCTGAATCGCTCCCCAGGTTTTGTTATGGTAGGGCATTGAAGTGGACATTAGTCAGCTGATAGGGAAAAACAAGCCTAAATCCTAGTTCTTCAACTGCAAGCAAACAAACAACAGTAAACTGGAAAACTATGATTAATACGTACTCAGCGGTGTTGTGGAAATATTTCTAAGATAACCTTGTGGAGGTTTTGTGGGGCATTTTTAAACTTAAGCAAAACATAATCATTTGTTGCAATATTGTCTAATTTATTGTTACTATCAGCTTGACTAGTTAGCTTTGAATTGATAAGTTAAGTTAATCAGAGACGCCAAAAAGACATTAGGGTAGCACTTGATTATTGACTTATTGAAAGAGATAAAAGTAAAGTCCACCAACTGACTAGTTTTGTCCTCTGGTAATTTTAATGTTTATTTCGATTCACTACTTATCTTTATCACTTCACATTTTTCATGGCACTAACCAATATAAATTCCCAATTTATTCTCTTTATCTGGGATTCAATTGATTTTTTAATGAACACCTAAAAAGTCAACCGAACCATACTTTTACCAATTACATCGATTTGATATAACTATTCCCAGCTCAACGTGCAACGCATGTTCTCTGCAGGTTGAAGCATGTGTTGATTTTATGTGGAATCATCTCCTGGGAGGACTGTTGCAGGACTGGAAAAGGTGAGTTCGCTGGCATACGTGCAAATCCGAATGGCGGGAGAGCATTTTAATTGAATTAAAACCGCTCGGAGTGGATTGCCCCTGGTTGTTTAATGCGTAAGTGTACTTGAACAAGCACACCATGAAAATACAAGAATATCCGCTCCGGTTTTGGTTGGAGAGGCTTCAAGGATACTACATACAAATTGTGTTCACATCAGCTCCGGAATCTGGGATAAAAGTAAGCAAAAATGTTTTATTAAAGAAAAATGCCATTTTTATTTTAAAATTTTAATATGCATAAAGTGATGTTATATAAAATTTAATTGTTTTGGGTTTTAGTAAGTTTTTTACAATTTTGAATTATTTTAACTTTAATTAACTCGCCTGACTAATTGTAAGCCTTTTTAAAAATGCCACATTGTGGCTGGCAATCTAAATTAGCCAGAGGCTGAAGTACCAGCAAATTATTTTAAAAATTCAGAAAGAAGTTGCCTTGTAAAAATGAAGTAAAACAAAGGCAACTGCCATTAGTAATTCATGAGCAGCTGGCTGAGATGCGAACTTGGTTATCAAGGAAGTGACAAACAGCAAAGCTTCTTTTACATTATATATTTTAGGAATGTTTTTAACTTACTAATATAATAATATATATTTCTGGTCGTTGTCATTAATGACTACACTAACAATATATTATAAAAGTAATAAGTATAAATAAATATAAATCATTAAAAAATGTGCTCATTAGAAGTTTAATATGTCGACTCTTTACCGTACTTATAAGTACAGATATTAATGAAAGATATTGATCCAGTTTGACAATCTCAGAACCGTCATCGATTCATTCTTTTTTACACTCGTATTTATTTTTTTTGCAATTTTACGACACTTTGCGCTTTAGTGGAATATCCAATAAAAGAAAGCGAGATGGCGAGAGCGGGAAAAGGCCCAGGCCGCGGTTATTTAATCTAGCAAATATGCGATAAAACACTGACAGATTACCAGTTGGTCGGAGCAATTGCGTCCTTATCGCCTCCTCAATCGCTACATGGCCGGCAATTGTTATTAGCAAATTGAGTTTGGCCCACTCAAACGCTATCGAAATGCCACGGTGGGCACATCTTGGCCTGGCAGCTCTCCTTCTCGTTTCCATCGCCCAGTTGGATGGCGCGGACATCGATTGGTGGGAGAATGCCTCGCTCTACCAGATATATCCGCGTTCCTTCCAGGACAGTGATGGCGATGGTATCGGGGACCTGAAAGGCATCACTTCAAGACTGGGCTATCTCAAGGAAATCGGCATCACGGCCACCTGGCTATCGCCCATTTTCACCTCGCCCATGTCGGATTTCGGTTACGACATCTCCAACTTCTACGACATCGATCCGATTTTCGGTAATCTCGAGGATTTCGATGCTCTGATAGTGGAAGCCAAATCTTTGGGCGTTAAGATCATCCTGGACTTTGTACCCAACCACTCGAGCGATGAGAACGAGTGGTTTGAAAAGTCCGTGAATCGTGAGGAGGGCTACGATGATTTCTATGTGTGGGATGATGGAAAGCTGAATGAGGAAACCGGTGAGAGGGAACCGCCATCAAATTGGATCAGTGTGTTCAGCGGACCCATGTGGACGTGGAACGATAAGCGCCAGCAATACTTTTTGCACCAGTTCCAGGTGAAGCAACCGGATCTCAATTTCACCAATCCAATGGTCAGGGAGCACATGCTTGACGTGTTGAAATTTTGGCTGGATCGTGGAGTTGATGGATTCAGGATCGATGCTGTCCCTCACATCTACGAGTACCGTAATGCTGATGGTTCCTATCCGGATGAACCTATTAGTGGCTGGGGCAGTGATCCAAATGCCTACGACTATCACGATCATATTTACACCAAGGATCAACCGGCTACGGTGGATCTGATGTACGAGTGGAGGGCCTTTTTGGATAACTATCAGGCGGAGAATGGAGGTGATTCAAGGGTTCTGCTGGCCGAAGCCTATTCCTCCGTGGAAACACTAAGTGCTTACTTCGGCAACAGCACTCATCAGGGAACCCAGCTGCCCATGAACTTCCAGCTGATGTATCTCAGTGGATACTCCACAGCCAAGGATGTTGTAGGATCGATCGACTACTGGATGAACACCATGTGGACGGAGCACCAAACGGCCAACTGGGTGGTTGGTAATCACGACACCAACCGCGTGGCCGATCGCATGGGAGCTCATAAGGTGGATTTGTTGAATGTGATAGTGAATGCCCTGCCGGGTGCTTCGGTGACCTACTACGGCGAGGAGATCGGCATGTCAAATGTGGATGTGGAGTGTACCGGTGACTCTTGCGAGGATCGGGATGGAGAGCGTACACCAATGCAGTGGACAGCTGGAAAGAATGCCGACTTCTCTGAAGGAGACAGTACTTGGTTACCTCTCAGTCCCGAATATCAAAGGTATAATGTGCAGACGGAGCGGGGAGTTTCGAGATCCTCCTTGAACATCTTCAAGGGACTACAGGCACTCAAGAGCAGTGCCGCCTTCCTGGCATTTAAGGAGGAAGGAGGTTTTTCCTATGAGGCTGTCACGGAACAGGTTTTGCAGATTATTCGGTAGGTAACTCCAAAACTTTTCAATTAGCTTTATTAATTATCTTATTATATTGCCATTCCAGCACCAACAAGTACAGCGAGGAGTATCGAATCCTAGTCAACATGGGCAACAATTTGGAGGTCTGGCCTAGCCTCAAAAACCTACGAGTACGTCCTGGTCACTGCCTACTCCAACCACTACGCAGGGTAAGTTTCTAAGACCTATTGCACATTTGAATTTCTAACTAATTAACTTGAAATTACAGGCAAAAAGTGAATCTGTCGCAGAGAATCATTCTCATGCCCTACGAAGCAGTCGTCTTACGATGGTCAGCGTAACTTTACACTGATTAATTTGTTATTTCAAAAAAAATAAATTCCTTGTTTATTTCCTGTTTATCAATATCGATAGCTATTGGGGTCCCCCATAAAGATAAGCCCTCTTTTTGTCAGCTTTTCAACGCATGGGTTCTTAGTAATATATTAATATGAACTTAGAGTGCCAATTAGCGCCATTTCGATTGCAAGACCACCCACTTAAAGATATACGCATTTGAACCTAGCAGAATTACCTAACGTACTCACTACGGATTATTCTGGGAATAAACGTGAGCGATGGTAATCACCCACAACTCAATTCTTCCTTAATTGCCCAATAAATTAAATGACCATTTTTCAAAACTTTCAGTGGTTCGTTTTCTAATCAGTGCCTTATAAAACTTTGTGTGGGGCTATCGCTAAGATAAGCCATCTGTTGAGTAATCCTACCCCCATGAGGAAGTAATGAGTTGAAAATTTCCTTTGATTATTCTTTATTAAAGACCTATAAAATAAGTTTAGACTGTGCTCAGCACAACGGCCTCCTTGGGCATCAGCAGCACAGAGTTGGCAAAGGTAAGATCGCTAAAAAAGGTAAAGAAAATTGGTTTAGTTTATGGTTATGAAGGGCTTGTGGTTGGTACTTACTTCTTGCGACGTGAGCTCTTATCGTTGACCACCACATACTGCAGTTGAGTAGAGATGGAGGTGAAAACAGAGTCCAAGTTGATCGACTCGACATCATCGTTGATGTTGATGACGGTGATGTAGGACTTCTCGCCAGCCAGAGAGCTGTGGAATACCAATTTTATAAGATTTTTAAGTTTAAGAACAAGGCTTCGTTAATCTTACCGCTTGAAGGCCAGCACATTAGGACCAATGGCGGTGACCGTGACATCGCCCTGCTTCAAGGTGGGTTCATCTCGCAGAGCACGCAGCTGCTTGTAGACATTCAAGTGGCTCAGGGCGATTCCACGCTCCTTCTTAATATTCACCAACTTGTAGTTATCGGCTACCGGCAGCCAGGTGACAGAGGCATTGGAGAAGCCAGCGTTTTGCTCGTCGCTCCATTGGAAGGGAGTGCGCACAGGATCGCGGGTGAGTCGTTCGAACTCCTGCTCGTTGGACTGGCAGGCTTGTGGGTCCACGGTGTCCTCCCAGCTGATCCAAACGTCAGTCATGCCCATCTCCTCACCCTGGTAGGTCACACTCACGCCGGGCAGACCCATGACGATCATATTGGCGGCATCAATGCGATCGGCCCCCAAACGGGAACCAATGCGACTCTGGTCGTGGTTGCCGAAAACCCAGTTGGCCACCTGTCCCTCGGGCATGTTGTCCAGCCAGTTGTGTATCAATTCCGAGTAGTGGTAGGCGTCGGAACTGTAGCTGATCTTGGACAGCAGCTCGAAGTTGAAGGGGATCTGGGAGCCCAGGTGGGTTCCATTTCCATAGTACAACATCAGGGTTTCCAGCGGAGAGTAGGCCTCGGTGAGCAGGACACGATCATCACCACCCAATTCGGCATCAATCTCCTCAATCACATCGCGGAAGGCGTAGACCAGTTCCAAAGTCTCGGGCTGATCGGTGGTGTAGATGTGCTGCAAGTAGGTGTAATCCTCGGGATCGCTGACTGCCTCGTTGCGGGGCTCATCGGGCCAGTTTCCATCAGCATCAGCTTCAACCTCGAAAACATGGGGCACAGCATCGATACGGAAGCCATAGGCTCCCTTTCGCAGCCAGAAACGCAGGACATCCTTCATGGCCTCAACGACAGCCGGATTACGGTAGTTAAGATCGGGTTGCTTAGCATGGAACTGGTGAAGGTAGTAAGCCTGACGCTGCTCGTTCCAAGTCCACATTGAGCCACGGAACACGCCAATCCAGTTGGTGGGTGGCTGACGGATGCCGTTGACCACCTTGCCGGTGTGCCAAACGTAAAAGTCCTTGTACTCTGCCTCGCCGGCAGCCGAACGGATGAACCAGTCGCACTCGTCACTCGTGTGGTTGGGCACAAAGTCCAAGATGATCTTAATGCCCAGCTCCTTTCCGCGAGCCACCAGTGCTTCGAAATCCTCCATGGTACCGAACAGGGGATCGATGTTCTTGAGATCAGCCACATCATAGCCAAAATCAGCCATGGGCGAGGTGAAGATAGGAGACAGCCAGGTGGCAGTTACGCCTATTTCCTTCAAGTAGGCCAATTGTTCGGTAATACCTGATAAGAAAGCATTGATGAGAAGTTTTCTATGTTTTTCCATTTATCAAAACTTACCAATGAGATCACCTACACCATTGCCATCACTATCCTTGAAAGATCTGGGGTAGATCTGGTAGAACTGACCCGTTTTCCACCAGCCAACTTCCGCCAGGGAAGGCAGCGCCAAAGCCAAAAGGCAAGAGAGAACCAGCAACTTGAACATGGCTCCCACTAAATCGATCGTTTGCCAATGACCAGAGGGATTATACGGTGCCTCTATTTATGCACCTTTACCCGGCTGATAAGGTAGCGATAAACCCGCCATATAGCAAACTATTTCTGATTAGCTCCATGGAGCTGGCAGATTTACAATCCCACCACAATTCGAATGGGTTCTAATGATATGGAGCTTGTGGAATTTATTGTAGTCCATTTCGGCCTGGCTCACGCCCGAAGATCATGAGACAGATTGGCAGGCAAATGAATACTAACTGCATATGGCCATATCTTATCGTCCAATGGGGCTCTTGGCTTTCGCAGGGGGGAGTAATTTATTGGATCACTTCTATTGGGTCTTTAAGCCAATAAAAGTGAAAGATTGGGGGGTTCAAGGTTGTGATAAGGAAATGATTCAACAACCAGAACTTTATGAGTGTAGGTCATTGGTGGACAACACCAAGACAGATTTTTCCAAGTCTGTAGATTATGCTTTTTTGTTTAGGTTGGCAAGTCTAAGAAAACTAAATTTGTATGAAAATCTTATCGCATACTTATACTTCTATTACTTAATGGAATAAATTATTAGTTCACTTACGTTATAGAATGTGTAGTACTCTAGTTCTTGGTGGGAATAACCAGGCAGTACTAAGGATTAGGTTGATCAGAGATAACAAACTTGATCTTAAGCATTGAAATCAGTAAATCTTGGTTATATTATCTCTTTGATCATTTCTTTATTTTCCAGTACCAAATCACTTCTTTTAACTCAAACAACATGAGTATCTTCCACTCTGAAGCCAAAGGTCTCACCATATATTTTCCCCAGGTGGTCATACGGGCTTTCGCTCCAAAGAATCAGAAACGATTAGATTATCGGCGTATATAAGAAACCGATTTCAATCGCAACACTTACAGTTAGCAATGGCAACTTGGACTAGCCTATTCTTGCTGTTGGGTCTTGGCCTTCTAGCCGTCGATGTCGCGGCACCCTGGTGGAAGACCGCTTCCTTCTACCAGATCTATCCACGATCCTTCAAAGACACTGACGGCGATGGAGTCGGCGACTTGAATGGAGTAACCGAGAAGTTGGAGTATCTGAAGGAGATCGGAGTGACTGCCACCTGGCTGTCGCCGTTCCTCAAGTCACCAATGGCCGACTTTGGCTATGATATTTCCGATTTCAAGGAGGTCGATCCACTTTTTGGAACGATGGAGGACTTCGAGGTGATGGTTGCCCGCTCCAAGGAGCTGGGCGTCAAGATCATCCTCGACTTTGTGCCCAACCATTCCAGCGATGAGTGTGATTGGTTTATTCGATCGGCTGCCGGCGAGGAGGAGTACAAGGATTACTATATCTGGCATCCGGGTTTCCTGAATGACGATGGAGCTCGTAGCCCGCCCACCAACTGGGTGAGCGTGTTCCGTGGAAGCGCCTGGGAATGGCACGAAGGTCGCCAGGAGTACTATCTTCATCAGTTCCACAAGAAGCAGCCCGACTTTAACTTCCGTAACCCCGTTGTGCGCGAGGAAATGAACAACGTACTGCGTTTTTGGCTGGAGAAGGGTGTTGATGGATTCCGTGTGGATGCTATTTACCATGCCTTCGAGATTGAGGCTGATGAGAATGGAAATTATCCCGATGAGCCCCGCAATGATTGGACCGACGATCCAGATGAGTACGGATACACCCATAAGATCTATACTGTTGACCAGCCGGAAACCCCTCACCTGGTGTAAGTTTAGATGGATGGATGCCCGGAAATTTTATTAATCTTCATTTATTTTCAGCTACGAATGGCGTCAAATTCTCCAGCAGTTCCAGGCCGACAATGGCGGCGATGAGCGGTGAGTTGTTCTTTAAGGAAATAATAGTCTATAGATTAAAAAGCAATCCACTCATTATTTAGCATTTTAATGGTGGAGACGTGGTCCCCAATTGAGATCGTAATGGATTATTATGGCAATGCGACCGCCGATGGTGCCCAGATACCGTTCAACTTCCAGCTGATAAGCAATCTGTACTACGATTCCGATGCCTATCACTACGAGTACCTGATTAACAACTGGCTTAATCTGATGCCCGAGGGCAAGAGCGCCAACTGGGTGGTAAGTTTCGTGGGGATCAGCAATTAGCAATTAGCTAATGATTAGTGCTGGGAAATTATTGAATATTGGTTTTTACAAGAGCCATATAATACCATTCGATTTATGACCACACAGATTGGCAACCACGACAAGAACCGCGTTGGCTCTCGGTTCGGAGCCGATCGTGTTGACCTCTTTAACATCTTGCTTCTCACTCTGCCCGGCTGCAGTATCACCTACAACGGCGAAGAGCTGGGCATGCTTGATGGTTATGTCTCTTGGGCGGATACCGTGGATCCACAGGCCTGCAATGGCTATGAGTCCAACTACATGGACAACTCCCGTGATCCGGCACGAACTCCCATGCACTGGTCGGATGAAACTCTGGCTGGTTTCACAACTGGCAATACCACCTGGCTGCCTGTTGCTTCGGATTATCCCCAGAGGAACGTGAAAACTGAGCGTGGAGTTTCCTTGAGCCACCTGAACGTGTTTAAGCGGCTGCAGCAGCTACGCCAAGAGCCCAGCATCCAGGAGGGTTCCTCCGAGATCAAGGCTGTTAGCAACTACGTCCTGGCAGTAAAGCGGTACGAGTATAAAAAGTTTCAGCTTGGTTTTTTTAATCATTAAATTTTATTTAAATCTTCTTTTGCAGCCACTTGAGCGGGGACTACGTCTACATCTCGCTGTTCAACATCTTCGACTCCATTGAGAATGTTAACCTATCTAATGTCTTCGGCAACCTGCCCGCCAAGTTCCAGTATGCTTTGGTGACCGAGAAGTCCATTAAGAAGGTCGGCGACCAGTTGTCCACCAGCAGCGTGACCCTCATGCCCCACGAGGCCATTGTTCTGCGTTCTACAACCACGGCTTAGGTTATTTCAATGGGGTGATGATTGTACAATTGATTAGCACTATGAATCACTTTTTATAAATTTGAGGATATAAATGCTTTCGATAACATTTTTTTTCCAGCATTATTTTTTTCTTAGATTTAAATGTGGATATGAATTGAAATTTAAGATTGTTAGGAGAGAATGAGTACATGTTTTCGATATTGGAGCTACAAATTGGCCTTGAAATATAAAACCTCTGTTCAATTTGTCGAACCCTTTTTAAGAAATATGTATATATACGAACGTGTATTATACATATTTTTTTAAGTGTTTTTTATTAGTGTATGTTTTGTGGTAAACTGTTAAATGTCAATAATCCCGTAATTTGACTTATATTTTCCACACCTCTCTCTATTGATAGTCTCTACCCTCTCCCCAGAACTCGGGAGATAACTGTCAACTGCATGATGCGCCCGTATTCTCCCATACTCTGCCAAGATCTCTGAAAAGCTCTCTCTTCTGCTCCCAATTCTCTGAGCAGTTTATAAATAAAATAAATGCAGGCATGGGCGTAGAGAAATATATTATAATAATAATAAGGTGCGGTTAGGGAAGACAAACAAGTAATTTGCTGGGTATTAAAAGAATGCCCAAAAAAGCTTAAAAAATATTTTAGAACGTAGTTTTTTGTTCGTCATTCTTGTAAACCTAAGTACCCTTAAGAAATATTTCTAACTAAGCCCGTGGATTTTTCTCACCCACTCTCTAAAATTGTTATACGAGTATTGCGAAAGACCTCGCATAATTCTGTTTTGCATTCGATCGTCAGTCGCATAATTGGCTTTGCTAAGAGAAGACCTTCTATAGGCAGACCGGCCAACTGCGGAGAAGGAAGCCAAAATGATTAAACACCGACTTTCTGTATTGTTTGTAATAACTCTCCAGTTTATTTCCCTAAGCTGGAGCCAACCCTTTCCCCATTACTTTGCTGATTTCGAAGACAACGAAGATCAGTCCAACGAACTCAAGTGGTGGCAGGCGGGCGCCTTCTATCAAATCTATCCAAGGTCATTTAAAGACAGCAACGGCGATGGCGTGGGAGATTTAAACGGTGAGAAGATCAGTTCAATATATAGGTTAAAATATTTACTTATTTTACACACATATCAGGCGTTGCGGAACAACTACCCTACCTCAAGGAGCTGGGCATCACAGCGACTTGGCTATCGCCCATCTTTACCTCGCCCATGGCGGACTTTGGTTACGACATAGCCAACTTCACTGAGATTGCACCGATCTTTGGAACTATGGCAGACTTTGAGCATCTGATGGAAGTCGCGAAAAAACTAGATATCAAGATTATCTTAGACTTTGTGCCCAACCATTCGAGTGACGAGTGCGAGTGGTTCCGACGTTCGGCAGAAAGGGATCCGGAGTTCAAGGACTTTTACGTATGGCATCCTGGTCGCATGGTGAACGGAAACCGCCAGCCACCCTCTAATTGGATCAGTGTTTTCCGGGGAAGTGCCTGGGAATGGCACGAGATTCGTCAGGAGTACTACCTCCATCAGTTCGTGAAGAAGCAACCGGATTTGAACTACCGTAACCCTAAAGTTCGGGAGACCATGAATGTGAGTAGGCCTAGCTTAATCTATAAAGTTGTTATATTGACTTTCCATTTTGTCTCAGAATGTCTTAAGGTTCTGGCTAGCCAAGGGAGTGTCCGGTTTTCGCATTGATGCAGTTCCCCATGTCTTCGAGATAGCGCCGGATGCACAGAATCAGTACCGCGATGAGCCGCGTAATGATTGGGACAATGACCCTGAGGACTATGGTTATCTGCAGCACATCTATACCAAAGACCAGCCGGAGACCATTGACCTAGTCTACTCATGGCGAGCGGTATTGGACGCTTTCCAGCGGGATAACGGCGGCGACGATCGCATTTTAATGGCCGAGACCTATTCACCCATCGATATTGTGATGAAGTATTACGGGAATGCGACGACGGAAGGAGCTCAGCTGCCATTCAACTTTCTGCTGATTAGCGATTTGTCCAACTCTTCGAATGCCCATGACTACGAGGGAACGATTCTTAATTGGTTGCAAAACATGCCCAAAGGTCGCACCGCCAACTGGGTGGTATGTAGACCACGAGTTCATAAATATTCCAGGTAAACATGATTTGTATTTCTCCTCCAGTTGGGCAACCACGATCACCCACGAGTGGGCTCCCGGTTGGGCAGGGACCGAGTGGACATGATGAACATGCTCACCGCCACTTTGCCTGGCGCCAGTGTTACCTACCAGGGCGAGGAGTTGGGCATGACCAACGTGTGGATCTCATGGAAGGATACTGTGGATCCCTCGGCCTGCAACACCAATCCGAGTATCTACGAGCGCTACTCTCGAGATCCGGAGCGCACTCCCTTCCAGTGGACCGATGCCCAGGATGCTGGATTCAGTAATGCCAGCAAGACGTGGCTCCCCATTGCTCCAGACTACAAGCAGGTCAATGTGGAGCTGGAGCAGCAGAAGCCATTGAGTCACCTGAACGTCTTCAAGCAGACCTGGCAGTTGAGGAAGCAGTCGAAGACCCTTCAACGCGGTGAAACTGAAGTGAAGGCCCTTAGCGACGCAGTGTTGGCCGTGAAACGGTAACAGATAATAGTATTTCAAATGGATTTGATAATAACAATAGATTTTGTTTAGGTATCTGGAACGTGATTCGACCTTTGTGACCCTTCTCAATATTTACGATGGCGTGGAGACCATAAATCTGAGGCAGACTTTCCCTGACTTGCCATCTCAACTAAAAGTTGTGCTGGTCACAGAGCGATCTCAAGTCAAAGTGGGGTAGGTTGTATAGCTTAAGTTTCATATAGGTTACTTTTTAATATCTACCATACTTTCAGTGATCTCATCAACTCCACTTCAGTGCAGTTGCAGCCCAAGGACTCGCTGATCCTGCAGTCAACCTCCTCATATTATAGTTATGCCACCAATGGAGAGTCGCGGTTTCTTCCCATTCTGGGCGTTTATCTCTGGCTAGCTCAAGTGGTGCTCTATCTGAGCAATCGATGAGTTCCCACCCTCTGTTCTAGCTGCTAGTTAATAATCAAAATACTCACAATAAACGCAGTCAAAGCACTTGACAACTTATCAGTGGAAAAATCTCTGGGGTGGTCGTCTATAAAAGCGGGTTCCCGCTACCCAGCTAGTCAGTCAGTCATGGCGTGTTTGAATAGCTTAATCATAGCGATACTTCTCCTGGGTCTGCACTGTGCCCTTGGGAGTGCGGCAGCAGTTGATCTGGACCTTGAAAGGGCCACCACCACCACGGATACCACTCGCGATTGGTGGCAAGTGGCGCAGTTCTATCAGATCTATCCGCGCTCCTACAAAGACTCGAATGGCGATGGTATCGGCGACTTGCAGGGAATCATCTCCAAGTTGGACTACTTAAAGGAGATCGGAGTGACGGCCACCTGGCTTTCGCCAATTTATAGCTCTCCCATGGCGGACTTCGGTTACGATATTTCCGACTTCTTTGATATTCAACCAGAGTACGGTACACTTGCCGACTTCGATGAGCTGATCGTCGAGGCTAAAAAGCGGGACATCAAAATCATCTTGGACTTCGTGCCCAACCATTCGAGTGATGAGAATGTCTGGTTCCAGAAGTCTGTGAAAAGGGAGAAGGGTTACGAAGACTACTACATGTGGCACGATGGTTATGTTAATGCCAGCACTGGTGTAAGGGAACCGCCGTCCAACTGGCTTCAAGCATTCCGTGGCAGTGCCTGGGAGTGGAACGAGGAGCGTCAGCAGTACTATCTCCATCAGTTTGCCGTCAAGCAGCCGGATCTTAACTATCGCAATCCCGCCGTAGTGGCTCAAATGAAACGTGTGCTCACATACTGGTTGGATCGTGGAGTGGCTGGATTCCGCATGGATGCCGTGCCCTGGTGCTTTGAGGTTCTACCCGATGCTGATGGCCGCTATCCCGACGAGCCACTGAGTGGTTACACAGATGATCCGGATGACTCCTCTTACCTGAAACATATTTACACCCAGGATCTGCGTGAAACTGTGGAGATGGTGTTCCAGTGGCGCACTCTGCTGGATGATTACCAGCGCATACACGGCGGTGATACGCGAGTTATCATGGTGGAAACTTATTCCGGCCTGGACTATGTGATGCAGTTCTATGGCAATCGTACTACCAAAGGTGCCCAGATGCCTTTCAACTTTCAGTTTATCATCGGTGGCAATGGGGACAAGAACAACACCGAGCTGAATGCCACTGGTTTCGTGAAGATCATCAACAGCTGGTTGAGTCAGATGCCCGCCGGACAGACAGCTAACTGGGTGGTAAGGGATCTCGAATACATTGTAGTGGTTAAGTATTTTCCTTATCTAATCAATTCCCCTACAGATGGGCAATCATGACCAGCGTCGAGTGGGAAGTCGATATGGTGAGAACCGCATTGATCTGATGAACATGCTGCAGATGTTCTTGCCCGGCGTGAGCATCACCTATCAGGGTGAGGAATTGGGAATGACTGATCTGGACATCAGCTGGGAGGATAGTCGGGATCCAGCGGCCTGCAACTCCAACTCAAACATTTACGAGCAGTTCACCCGTGATCCCGCCAGGACTCCTTTCCAGTGGAGTGATGAGGCCAACGCAGGATTCTCCACCAATGCCACCACTTGGCTTCCAATTAATCCTAATTATGTGACTGTGAATGTCAAGACTGAAAATGCCACGAGTCCCAGTCACTTAAGCCTTTATAAGCAGCTGGTGGAGCTGCGTAAATCCAAGACTCTGCAGTTTGGCGCCACTCGATATGGGAATGTGGGCGACAATGTGGTTGCCATTAGGAGATACCTGAGTGGGGAAACTACTTATGTGCTGGTGGCCAATGTGCTGGACACTACTGTCTCGGGATTAAATGTAGCTAGTGCTGTCTATGCCACTGAAAGCTACAAGATCAAGCTGTTGAATCCGCAGTCCAAGGCCACAGTTGGGTAAGTCTTCACCATGACATGCTTAAATTAAATCCTCGCCTAACTTTTATTTTACTTCCTCCTCATCACAGCGATAGCGTAACATTGAGCAACTTGTCGCTGGAACCATATGCAGCACTGATTTTGGAGTCTGTCTAGAGTTTACATAATCATAATCATAAGTTGGAAAGAAACAATACATACGTATATATAAAGTACATCGATAATGTATCTTGTTATATGGGCGTATAAGTCATTCGGGCGAACGACATTGGAAAACTTTTCAATTTTAAGGTCGCGTGCTGGGCCAACTTATTATAAATTATTAAGGAACTTTGTCCTGGCTCAAGAGTCACAGTCAGTGCGAAACCCGATGGCGGGGGCAAAAGAAATTCCATTAGACGTGATTGATAAGACACACAAATCACGCATACGCAACGTTACTGCCACGCAAAAACCAAAAGGACCACAGAAGGTGTCTCGGAAATGAGTGTGCGTGGGCGTATGGCGTGTGGGTGCGGTGTCCTACTGAATGTTGCTGTCGTACTTGAAAGCCCTAGAGGAAACGACCATGGTTAGCTTTTTAATTTACTCATAAAATATAAAGTGAAATTATGGCGAAAACAACATGGCAGCGCAGCTATTTTTAGTTTACGCTTTAGCAACTTTAAGCTGTTTCTGACCTTAAATCAGGAACTGAAAATAATGGTTATTCAAGATCTTTTTTGTCGTTTATAAATGGAAAACACTGTAGTTCTCGAAACACAAAAATCTGATGTTTATTTGAGTTCCCAACTTTAAGTCCCTTTAAAGTGCTCCATCATCATCCCACACACTCGGGAACACCAGAGTTCATCACCGACAATTGGTCTGTCAGCGGCGGCCTCTTTTGCGGCGTTAGCCTGCACCCTTTGCCACCCAAAAACCGTCAACTGAACCCAAAACATCATTCCGCAAAACATCAGCTACGTGAGAGTCATTCAAATGAGCAAGTGCTCGACCAACCCGTTCGGCGCCAGTTATGAGCCATGTTTGCGGTGCAATTAATGAGCGGCCAGTGATTAAATGAACTTTCAGGCCTCACCTGGCCAACTGGCCAACTGGCACGTGCCAAATCAGAAGCCAGGGGAACTCAGCTCGTTAAGAGCTGACCCGGAATCAAACTCAAATATTATCCGGGGCATTATTAATATGCAAACGTTGTAAGAGCTTCGAATACGTTAACTAAATGTGCAAGGGATGTGCTGAGCTCGGCTCGCTTCCGGCGTTTTTCGGGCTACGAAACCCAGAGTCCTTGCAGATTACAGCGAGCTTAATGCGTTTTAAAAAGTTTTCCAATCGGAAGGGGAGCAAACTTTTGTCCGACCTGCGTAAATCTGCGAAAATCATGAAAATCATCTTAAATGTAATCATTTCGGTGCCTTCGTCAAACATTGTGGCTCAGACTCTTTGGGAAATTAACTTCATTATCTGAACGAAAATGAAATGCACAAAAGGCAGAACGGCTTTTGTCCGACTGGGACGCCACCACCAGACCTCCTCCATCGTCTGGTTGGTTGTCTGTGTCCTGTGGTTTTCATTTTCACAATTTCATACGCAGCTTTTATTTTATTTTCATTTTTTTTTTAAGGTTTCTGGTCACGTGCGTAAGGGTAAAGTGGCCCCAGCCACTCGGAGACCGTGTCTGTGACCTTTTTAATGGGCTGACGGGTCACGCAGCCATTTACACGATTCCATTTTATTCATTTTTGTGGTCCTGCCGCCAGAGACTGCTAATTTTTCAGCGTCAAAGTGAAATCGAACAAATCGAATGGGGATGTGATTATTTAAGGGCGAAGGAAATAATTTGTAAAGACTTCAACAGAACCGATTTATGCATTACATCGAAATTCAATCTCGTTATCGAATCAGGTAATTACTCGACTTCACTGAACATTAACGATTAATTCTCATTCTAGACGGCCCAACGTGTCCGAAACGTATCCATTGCCTCAACCTTTTTCGTTTGCTAACCCAACCCAAGTGGGCTGCAAGAAGAAGTTTTCGTAAGCCTGGAAATCTTTGAAAATCTGGGGCGTATACTTGATACTCGGGTATCGCAAGGCGTGTCTGGCAATTACCATGTGTAAACGCAATTAAATTATTTATAACGCAATTGAAGTTCTACTTTTGAGCTGCCCTGCGAACAGGAAGAGTAAATACTCCAGGGTTGTTTCACAAATTCCCGAGATTGGTAATAAATCTCGCTATGAAAATTCTCCCCCGCTATCTGGGTGAACTCATCAAGCCCCTCTCGAAGGTTTTCTCAACGGTTTCTCGACTTCAAAGGGTCCCGCGATGCTGGGGGCCCGGTCCCAGGCCGAACTTCTTCTCCATTTTATAGGCCTAGTCCCTCCTGGCCGTCGTCTGTATTTACATTGTGTAACACACATTCTTGGGGCTCTCAGGCCCATACACACACACTCACTTACACTTACACCCAGTGTAAAACACCAAATACTTACTTACCGGAGGGGCAGGGAACTTTTGCTTGACTTTAATTTGTGTGTAAACACTTTAAATGGCAAAATCCCGCCTCCGCCGCCGCCGCCGACCGGGAATTAAAAGAGTATGCCGGGCACTTGAGCTTATCTGCCGGGTGGGGTAGTGGTAGGTGAGTGGGCCATGGGAGGTGGGTGATTCAGGATATGTGTGGTGTTTCTGGGCTGGAGTGGTTTGTTTGTCTGGTTTTCACTTATATATTTATTTATGCAAGCCACGGCATATTTGCTTTGAGCCGAAGATAAATACCGATTGAGTGGCCTGAGTCAGTATGTTTCAAGTGCGTCGGATAGGCTACGCCATTTAATCGAATCGGGAAGAACGACTGCTGGTGCTGGTGCTGCTGCTGCTGCCATCCAATACCAACGCCTCGCCGGCTGCCAGACTCAATCCGGTGACCTCGAATAGCGAGCTGAAAAGATGTCCACACAGATGTCAGCGAGATGGTCAACATTGGGACAAGTCCCCTTCCCCATTCTTACCCCTCCGATTTTGCCGACTGCAGGCTGCGTATGAGAAGCGTCAAGTGGGTGGGCAGTGTCTTGTCGAAGTCATATAAATTCACGGTGACACCCTTGCTGGCAAAGTTGGCCACATAAATTATGGATGCAGTGCCGGAGAGGTAACTGTAAAGGTAATGGTTCGGCACGTTCTTGAAGGAATTTCTATAAAATATGGACCTCCAAGTACATAACTCTTAAAAGGGGAACCTAGCTTAGTGCAGTGTCATTCTCTAACTTCTAGAGTTTGACTTTCAGGTGCCCCCGTATATATCTTGTTTTATATGAACTTGACTACGAAGCCATACTCACCGTTTCACTACGAACACATTCTCGCTGATTATTCCATATTTGGTGGATCCATTTTGCAGGGCCAGGGAGGATTTCCTCAGTTCCACCAGCGACTTGTAGATTTTCAGATGCGAACGCGTAGCTGCCTCCTCCGTTTCCACATTCACCGTTTGGTAGTCAGCCGCCAGTGGCAACCAGGTCTTGGATGCAGTAGAGAAACCGGCATTAGTGCCACTTGTCCACTGGAAGGGAGTTCGAGAGGGATCTCGAGTGAACTGCTCATAGATAGATGAGTTGGAGTTGCAGGCCGCAGGATCCTGAGTGTCTTCCCAACTAATCTCGCCATCGGTCATTCCCAGCTCCTCGCCCTGGTAGGTGACACTGGCTCCAGGCAGGACCATAACCAACATATTCATGGCATCAGCATTGGCCGTTCCATATCGACTAGCTGCCCTTCGCTGATCGTGGTTACCTATTACCCAGTTGGCTGTACGTCCGGCAGGCAGGTTGTTTATCCAATTGTCCACGGCTGTCTTGATGGATGCCGCCGAGAAACCGTCGCTGGCCAGAACCGTAATCAGGTTGAAGTTGAAGGGCAGATGGGCCCCATTCACCGAGCGATTTCCGTAAAACTGCATTGTATAGGCAGGTGGGGCATAGGTCTCAATAAGGAGCACCCTCGTATCGCCACCATGGATACGTTGATAGTCATCCATAACCACGCGCCACTGGTACGCCATATCAATCGTTTCTGCTCGGTTCTCGATCAGATCGTTCTTCAGGTACTTGCGATCGTCGACGTCATCCGTCAGTCCACTAACTTCCTCGTCGGCATACTGACCATCTGCATCCGGCTCGATTTCAAAGAGCACGGGAACTGCATCACAACGGAAGCCAGCCACTCCAAGATCCAACCAATAGCGAAGCACCCGCTTCATTTGCTCCACAACCAGCGGATTCCGATAGTTAAGATCTGCCTGTTGCACTGCAAACTGGTGGAGATAGTACTGCTGACGCACGTCGTTCCACTCCCAGGCGCTTCCACGGAAAGCTTGGAGCCAGTTGGATGGAGGTTCCCTCTCCCCAGTGGTGGCATTTACCTTTCCATCGTGCCACACATAGTAATCCTCATAGCCCTTCTCGCGATTCACAGACTTTACAAACCAAGAGTTTTCATCACTTGAATGATTGGGCACGAAATCCAGGATGATCTTCAAGTCCAACTCTTTGGCTCGCGCAATCAGTGCCTTAAAGTCATCAAGAGTTCCATACTCCGGTTGAATGTCAAAGAAGTCGGATATATCATAGCCAAAGTCCACCATAGGTGAGGTGAAAATGGGAGACAGCCAGGCTGCTGTGACCCCCAAATCCTTGAGGTACTCCAGTTTGCTGGTGATGCCATTCAAATCGCCGATACCATCGCCATCAGAATCCATAAAGGAGCGTGGGTAGATCTGATAGAACTGGGCTGTTTCCCACCAGTCCTTTGTGGTTGTAGTTGATGTGGTGGTTTCACATGACCAGCTTGGATGCACCAGGATAACCAGACCACACGCTAGTAGGCCAAAAAGTTCTAACCGTGTTCTCTGCATTTTTATTACTTGATAGCGAAGAGTCAGTGCTGCGGCTTTTATACAATAACATTGAGCATGGATTAGGGTAGCTTAAATGATAACCCCACATTGAGAAGTGTAAGAATTCACCAAAACACTTGAGAGGCCACTTCAGCTGTAAATTTTCCAATAGTGGTGATGAGTATGCTCTACATTAGAACCCGATCAAAACATTTCCATTATCTAACCTGTTGAGTAGACTGTCTATAAAAGAGCGAGTAACTGCCGGCTGCTCATACACAAGGTTTTTTATTTTGACCGTGGCAATGGAGCTCCTATCGCTCCTAACACTTTTGGCATTGACCATTACTCACAGTGAGGGCTGTCAGGTGCAAAGCTCCACCAGCGAAACTACCAAGGACTGGTGGGAGACAGCACAGTTCTATCAGATCTACCCACGCTCCTTCAAAGACTCCGATGGCGATGGCATTGGTGATCTAAATGGCATTACCAGCAAACTGGAGTACCTCAAGGATCTTGGGGTCACAGCGGCCTGGCTTTCACCTATTTTCACCTCACCAATGGTGGACTTTGGCTATGATATTTCCGACTTCTTTGACATTCAACCGGAGTATGGAACTTTGGAGGATTTCCGCGCTTTAATCAAGCGAGCCAAGGAGCTGGATCTGAAGATCGTCTTGGACTTTGTTCCCAACCATTCGAGCAATGAGAGTGAGTGGTTCAAGAAATCGGTGAAAAGGGAAAAGGGCTATGAGGACTACTACGTGTGGCATGACGGTAAGGTGAACGCGGAAACTGGAGAGAGGGAGCCCCCGACCAACTGGCTTCAGTACTTCCGTGGAAGTGCCTGGGAATGGAACGAGGAACGCCAGCAGTACTATCTCCACCAGTTTGCAGTGCAGCAACCCGACCTGAACTATCGCAATCCCCTGGTTGTGGATCAGATGAAACGAGTGCTTCGCTACTGGCTGAATGAAGGTGTTTCCGGATTCCGATGCGATGCTCTCCCTCCGCTCTTTGAAGTTTTGCCCGATGCCGACGGTCAGTTCCCCGACGAGGTTGTTTCTGGTGCTACTGATGACTCGGAAGATCGGAACTATCTGACGACCACTTACATCGAGAACCAGCCGGAGACCATCGATATGGTTTATCAGTGGCGCACCGTACTCGATGACCACAAGCGCATTTATGGAGGCAACTCAAGTGTTCTGCTCATTGAGACATACTCCCCAGCCTGGTTTACTATGCAGTTCTACGGAAATCGTAGCACTGAGGGAGCCCATCTACCTTTTAACTTTAACTTCATCACTGTTATGGAGCAGAAGGGTCTGAATGCTAGCAACGTGAAGGAGGCTATTGATTTGTGGCTAAACAATATGCCTGCAGGTCGAACAGCCAATTGGGTGGTAAGTTGAAGTCGTTAAGCAATGACCGAAGGCTGAAGTTAATCCTCCAATTCCAGATAGGAAATCACGACAAGAGAAGAGCCGCCAGTAGGTATGGTAAGGAGCACATCGATGCCATGAACCTGCTGGTGATGATCCTTCCGGGCGTTAGTGTCACCTACCAGGGCGAGGAGCTGGGCATGACTGATGGTGAGATCAGTTGGGAGGACACAGTAGATCCCTGGGGCTGCAACTCGAATTCGGACATCTACGAACAGTACACCCGGGATCCGGAGAGAACACCTTTCCAGTGGACAGGGGGTGTTAATGCTGGATTTACTAATGGGTCCACAACCTGGCTACCTTTAGCAGCGGACTATGAGACTGTGAATGTGGAAACGGAATTGAGTGATGAGCGGTCTCATTTGAAGATTTACAAGGCTTTGGTGGCCCTACGAAAGTCATCCAAAACTCTACAAAATGGGTCCACAAAATACAGTACTATATCGGATGACGTTTTTGTAGTTCAAAGGTAAAGTGTTCAAGGTGTTATGATATATCTAGTTAGTTATCTTATATCTTTCATCTTTATTTTTGAAGATCTCTCGCCAACTCAGCCACCCTAGTTGCTGTCATTAACTTTGGAACGGAAGCCAAAACTGTGGACTTGAGTCAATTTGACAAGAATCGAACTGAGAGCTTGCAGCTTCTTATAAGAAGTATTAGTTCCACAAAAGTTGAAGGGTAAGTAGAATATAACTCTTACTTACTTACTTACTTATATATTGTATTATTATTACCAAACAGCACTCGATACGATCCAACAGCCTTGAGCCTAGATCCCGCGGAAGCCTTAGTTTTAACCACCGAATAAAACTCATTTTCTTGAAATGGAAAGTGTTTCTGATTCATTGATATTCGTCTTGCTTTATTCGTAAATATATATGCAGCCAAATAATATTTAGCATATTGTTTTCAATAGTATTATTAACTATACATCAAGTAACTAATTCGAAAGACATTCAAATCTTGGATGTTCCATGGGTTTTCTCATTAACGACTATTTACATTGAACACACAGACACGGAAAACGAATATACGAGTATATTTCACTATTATTTTGTACCCCATGATTTGGCTAGACATGAATTTGCATTACTTGCGCTCTATTTAACAAATATTTAACTATGCGGTTTCGGAGATAGCACATTGTAAGCTTCACACATTTAACATTAATCCGAGTACTCAGACATCAAGGTGACTCGCTACAGCTAGAGGTTTATCCATAAAGTACTATATGTACACCTTAGCTTGGACAACAATTAAATCTACCATGTTGATGGGCTCAAACAACACAATAAATGCAATTGTAATTGTTCTACCTAGCTGCTACATTGCAAAGGGGCTGAAGTACCCAGCCCTTTTGGAACATAATTGCGCCCTCGAAAAAAAAAATATTCCCCTCTTTTACCCGGTGCTCACTGTACAGCTTTTTGCCACGCTTAGCCTATTTAAATTACATTCACTAATCAGATAGCTTTGTTAGTTTGCTTCGGTTTGTAGAAAACACATTTTTGAAATTATATCACATTTTCGTTTTTTGTTTCTTTCGGAACGCTCTGAAACAACGCTTAGAAAACTAGATAAGCTTAAGAGTTAAACACTTATTAATAGTTTAAATATGACAAGTTATTTTTAAATGCCTATATATTTATTTTTGTGCTGAAGTGTAAAATGGAGAAACACATTCGATTTTTTTTTAATTTTTTGGGAAGAGTTGCGTAGTCGACTTTTTATCATGGGACATTGCTTCAATTCACTCTGGCCTGTTATGTGTCTTTTAAAATCTGAAGATACCCCTGGGTATCACAGAAATATCTTCTATATCTTTTCATAGGAAGGAAGTATTTCAAAAATAATTAAGAAAGATTTTTAGGTAAGATAATAATACATGAAAATTCAGAAGAAAATTGGAATATTATTATGATAAATTAATTTAAATAAATGTATAAAAAAACAACAAATCTTAACAAAGATTTAATGAATTCCTTTCAAGATTTTTTTGGACAAGATCAGAAGATATTTCTGTGGCACATCTGCCTGTAATTTAGTCGCCTCCTGGCAGGCACTTAAAAGTGCTGGCCTCTGTCTGGTTTTTCAACACCCCTACCCCTCCGAAAAGCTTGGGTCAACAGACACTTTCCACTTACTTACGTATTGTTGCAGGGAAACCCTAATCTCTGATGGCAGCTTAAACGGGAATTGCGGCACGTTTTTTTGTGGCACTGCCACTGCCCGTGCTGCCGGTGTCACTGGAAGAGCTTTGTGTTGCAGGTTGCTGCTGCTGCTGCTGGTGCTGTTGCAGCTCCGCCTGCTGTCGCTGTTGTTCCTTCAGTAACTGCTGCTGCAATTGTTGTGCGTTTAGCTATAAGTTTGTTTGCAAAACCGGCGGACGTTGGCTCCCGTTTCCATTTCCATTTCCATGGCCATTGTTGGCTGCCACGGACGATGCGATTTCGGTGACATCCACCGTTACCAATGGTGCTGTTGTTGTTATTGCTGCTACCAGCGGCTCTGTTGTTGTTTCGCCAGTTGCCACTGTTGTTGTTATGGTTGCTGCTGGATGGCCGCTTATGTGATTGTTAGCCGTTGTGATGGCGAATGCCACGGCCGGCTGGCCATGTTGCCGCTGATTGATTTTATTATTGTTGGCCACGACTTGCTCCGTTGCCTCATCACCATCACCATCGCCATCGCCATCACCATTGCTATTGCTGTTGCTGTTGCTATTGCCACTGCCCTTATCTGTGGGCGTGGTCGTGGCCGTTGTGGTATTGTTTGGCACATATTGATCGGCATATGGTATTTGATTGTAGGCATTGATGTCCAGCGACGTGATTATGCTGGAAATTGTCTGAGTGGCCATTTCGCACAATTTCTTTGTCTTTAGAGAGTTTTCTGTTAATGATGGGGGTGTGAAAAAAGAAAGTCGAGAAGAGTTTTATTCTGTATCCTAGTCAGAAACATAAATTAATAACAGAAAACAAACTAAGCTAAGAAGCTATCAAGAAACTAAGCTTATTTACAAATATTTTCAAACTTAAATATTATTAAAACTTATTTTACATTTCATACTGATTAATCCACAAGCATAAACCAAACCCAAAGGCCATAGATTAACTCTCTTGATTTTCGGCTTAACCGGATTTAAATAAATTGCAAATAACAATTAATGATTTTACAGGAATTAAACTGAACTTGATTGTGTTAATAGGATTCCATTTTAATTATCTGATTAATTGATTACTTTAAGGCTAATGAGTTAATTCAGCTCTTAATTGTACAAATAAATAAAAAAAAACTCATTTCAATTAGTTGTATTACTGACACCTTCATATACGTTATCCTTATCATCACATAGACCGTTAACAGGTAACCCCGGGAAACACAGCTTCCTCTTAATTACTTACCGGTGTTTGTGGGCGTGATATGCTTCTGGATCTTCTCCTCCTGGGCACAGGTGGCAGCAGTCACCACGGCTGCGGCCATCATGGACGAGGGTCCCGTTCCGGCAGTGCGATGCATGTTGCCATAGCGCGGCGGCATCATGCTCTGGCGCACGTTGCGCTCGGGGCGTATGAGTATTATGTACAGCTGCAAGGACACAAGCGTACGTTGTGGTCAGAAAATCACTGTGTGTGTGTGTGTGTGTGTGTCTTTCCAATTAGGTTAATTTCCCGTATTTCCCTGGCATTAATCATACGACCCCATTGTATGTAATCGTTATTTGGAAGCGATATCCAATTTTGTTGTTCCACCAAGATGGCTTATCTTATGGTCTTCATTAGAAGTCAGTGCGTGACCTGCCACGCCCATTGCCAAGCCCCAAGCTTTAAGCCCCTAACCCCAATATCCCCAATCCAAAGCCAAATGTCATTAGCTATTTCCCGGTTCGATGGCCAGCTGTAATTGTGGGCCGAAAAGAAAGGCCAACGACTCCAGTTGGTTGCTTAAACAGAGAAGAAACAGAACACCATGAACTTTAAATTAACATTTTTACACTCTAAGAAAATAAGTCCAACTTTAAGCATTTCTCATTTCAAGTTCTTTTGAAGGATTTTAAACACCTTAAACTGTTTGCCTTACGTGTAACATATTTTCTTTTGCTAATAATCTCATAAAGTAAGGTACACAAAAACTGCGAGCAGTGCTGCCTACGTTCCCATTTACGTTATGCTGCGTTGGGTTATGTTGCTTGTACGGCCGCAGCACGGTCATTTCCGCCGTGCTTTGACATTGTTTGGCTGCCATTTGGACGCAGTTTGTTATTGTTTTCACCGCAAACAAACGCGGCAAGTACGAAAACAAACTGAGGCAAAAACCGGACGGTCGAAGCAACAAAAAAGAACAAAAAAAAATATATATATATATATTGAAAAAGGAGGCGGATGGCAGTCGGAAGTCGAAATTGCTTACCACCTCGGTCCGTGTCCGCCTTTGTTGTCCGGAAGAAGGCGTGGCTGCTGGCACCTTTACGGCCGGGCTTTAGTTTGTTGCCTCTTAGTCCAGTGATCCCCAGTTGCTTTGTGGCATGCCGCATTCATGACAACCTTTTATTGTTTCTCCCTTTCTTTGCCACTGCCGTTGCCCAGCACAAGCAATTGTAAATTGCATTTTTATGGCTCAAGGTGTTCTTCGGTCTATGTGTGCGTGTGTGTGCTTGCATGTATTTACTGTATCCACATAAGTACAGTGTGTTTTCCCTGTCGCCAACTAACCGTGCATTAGGTGACATCTGATAGCAGACAGTTGGCCCGGTTAGTAGCCAAGTAGTACGATATATTCTATGCTACGACATTTAATAATAGCCCCTGGGCTGAGTGTTTATGGCCATTTGCCTTGGCTTCCCCTGGGGTTTGTGCCACTTTGCACCCGGAATATGCAGACAGCAAACCGCAAAGTGTAGCCGTAGCTTCGTTTCGGGGCATAAAACTATGATATGTGCAATTGGGTGAGCTCCTCTCGGTTTTAATCTAGTTTCTGCCTGATTTACCAATTCTACTTCCTTGGCCTTAAATGGGAAAGTATTGAAGGAAAGGCTTACTGAAATCAACTTTAAACCCTTTAACTTGTAATTAAATTTTCAAATTTTAGATTTTAATACTTCGCCTTCCATAACCTTTTTTAGGGTTTTAAGTTTGTCCTTCTATTTAATGAAGACATTATTATTTCAAAAGCATGCTCTCCCGACGACGTCCCATATCTGGGAAAACAGCAAGTAAACACAGCTTTTCCGCTGCATCAGCTAGTCCATGAACTTGAATGGCTGTCTATATTTGGCTGGTCTTGCAGTTTACTTGCGTCTTAATGGCTAATAACAGGGGGTATTAAAAAATACGTTTGCCTGGCATGACCGAGGATGGTTTTATATAGAAAGATGAAGCCCTCGGGAGGGGAGATTATGAGGAGTTCAGCTCTTGGCTTGTTGACATTTAAACTTGTTCTCGATTAAACATTATGAAATGGCCAAGAACCAAGGACAAAGGGCCAAGGAGTGAATGTTAAAAACAATATGGCATGGCAGGAACACAACGCAATTTATGCATCCGGCTTTTGAATTAAAAACCCCCTTCGGCACTCTGGCAGCCTGGCACCCAGACCGGTTGTCATCATCTTCCGTCTTATTGCATTTTAATGAACCACTCGACCCTGCGTCCGGTATAAACGATATAAATGCGAATGAAAATCGCCAATGGCTGCAGTGCTCCTGCTGCACCCAAAATCATTTAACGGACGCCAGAGAAATACGCAATAATTAATGCATAACGCAATTACCAATTGCCTCGTCTGGCAATCAATTTACGGAGGACGCAGGCGGCAATAGATCCCATAGCCAAGCCCACCACCCACTATCAATTACCATTACTCACCTTGGGCGAAAAGAGACACGCGATAGTTACGCTGGCGGACAAGCTGATGGTCACCGACATGCTGGTGATGCGCAGCGGTACATGGTTGGCGGTACCGAAGTACAGCGGTACAAAGGCCAGCCAAATCACACAGGTGGTGTACATGGTAAAACCTGAAAATTGTAAAGTTGAATAAACAAAATGTGGGTGTTATTAAGAAGAGCTTAAAATACATTCCGTAACAATGGCTAACAGCAAAAAATATCTCGTCATAAATCAGTTTTTTTCTCACTATAAAACACCAATAAAAACTGATTTTATTTCGTGTTTGCATATTTTTTAAGGTATAATTAAATGAAACTCTGAAAAGAGTAAACTGAAATGCGCACCGCAACTTAATAATCAGGAAAATCCACATATTATACAAAGAATGCGATGCATACATGAACGCATTTTTATTTTTCATAAATAATTTGTTTGTACAAGCAGCCATAAGCTGATTTAATTATGTGACTGTTTTATAAAAACTACAAGCAGCTTGATTTAACTACCAGTTTTATAACATTTAAAGTGAAACTATATAGCCTAGTAAGGATATTCAGTGAATACTTTGGACTATAATTATTGCAACTTTAATCAAATTTTCTCAAGTACAAATGAGTTTGATGATGTGGCTTTTAATTATAATATATATACTACAAGATAAGGCTGATATCCAATCATTATAAAACGAAGTTAATGGCCAGACTTAACATTCAAGTAGTAAATGTTCTGCCGATTATCCCAAGACATTGGCAATTATTCGAAATTATTATGCTGCTTAAAAATAAAAGACTCAATTACATACCAATATGCTTCGACTCGTTGAAGGCCTCCGGAATCTTTCGTGTGAGCACCGCGTAGACCGTGCAAATTACAATCAGGACGATTGGATAGGAGAACGCAATCATATAGGAGGCGTCGATGTACGAATCGCAGACGAGCAGATTATCCTCGCGTGTTGGATAATGATGCATGGCATGTGATGGTGCAATTACCATCCAAACGCCGTTGATGAGTATCTGTGGAAATGGTATGAATGGTATGTCATCGCGTATTCCACATCCGCCCCGTTGGATGCCATCGCCACCGCATCAGTACTCACCTGAACACTAACCAGACACGCACAGATTACCAACTGTGACTTGGGACTGATGAAGGAGGGCCTCTTGGCGGACTGTTTGCCCGCTTTGAAGATCCTTGCAATCCGATTCGTTTTGGTCAACAGTGCAGCATAGACGACCGTAAAGCAAAAACCGACACCGAACCTGTGTGAGCGGAATTGATAGAAAGTTCACACTCCGCTCATTGCATCATCTCGGCAATTTGCACACACTCACCTCTGAATGGCACACACAATGTTGGTGGGCTTCAGTACGAGGGCAAATGTGACACCGTAGCACATGAATATCCCCGCCAGCAGGATATAGCTCAATTCTCGTCCTGATGCTCGCACGATGGGCGTGTCATTGTGCCTGTCAGGTGGAAAATATAAAGGAAAAAAGAGGGGAAAATGAAAATCCTCAACTAAAGTTACCAAAGTTTCGGTCATATAGCCAGGAATCCTTTGCGCCAATTACGGCATCATTTTTATGTCTCTGCTGGCAAATTTTGTGGCAAACTTTGCCAAGGCAAGGGTGAAAAGTTTTTAATTGCTTGGCCATATCCATACAAGCGCACAGTATTGTGCCAATAATTACAGTCAGAGAAATTAGGGCATAGAAGATAAAGAAATCAAAACCTAAAACTTAACTTGATGTTTTAGTCCTCTTTCCATCTGGTTTATTGAAGAATATCAAACTAACTATATATTTCTTCCCAGTATCATCTAACTAGAAGTTCCTATTTATACCACATTTTTCCCCTAGTGTATTTTCAGCTCACCTGACGAACACGCCCATGACAAAGAGCGTTACCAGGATGCCGGTTGCACTAAACGCCATCGCACCAATGGCCCAGGCGGACTCTGGTCGCAAATATATCTCCGGTATGGGTCGGCAGTACTGCTTGTGGGCATCGGGAAGCGTTCCCAGCTTGCACAGCTTGCAGTGGGTCTCGTCATCCGGGTGGCGGATCTGCAATGGACGCACCGCACAAAGGAACACTTGATAAATGGATGATGGGGAGGCGTGCACAAAGGCGGCATGTTTGCCATTCAGTTGCAGCCTCTTTCAGGCCTGATGACTTAATTGTTTTTGCCTCTCTGAACCCCCTCTGTTGTTGCGCGTTTTAGTTCGGGAATAATTCACTCGCCGCCGCATTTCAATCACGTCGAAAAGCCGACAAATAAATTACGGAGACCAGATGGATTTCACTTACTTGATAGGTTGTGCAATTGAAGCAGTGCCAGCAGCAGCTCTCGCCCTCCACGTACTTCTTGGCCTGGCCCACCAGGCAGGGCAGGCTGCAGACGGACTCCGGTGGCTTGGGGCTCAGGCGTTTGAACTTCACCTCTGCGGCAGTGGGAATAATACAATGAGAATTAGGGAAGTCAAGGAAGGGAGGATGGTCCCTAGTGCTGCCCACTTGGCCAGTTTCTGGACAAATCAAGGTCAGAGAGAAGATGGTTTATCAAGGTAAAAGTATTCTTGCAGCGAAATCAACAAGTTTGATTCTAAACATTTGATTTTGGATTAAAGCCAAATGGATTTGTAGACTTTTTACCCTTTCAGTTATCATATTGAGATTTCAATTGCCATTTCCGGTAATCCAAATTAGGGAAGAGTAGATGGTAATAGATCTCAGGCCATGGCCTACACTCACCCGACATATTGAGCCGCAGCTCGCCCTCGGTGTACTCGCCCACCTTGACCCAGTGGTACTGGCCCGCCTGCGACTGCTTGAAGTGGATGATGTTGTAGCGGGCAGGGCCGTCGCCGTTACCGTCGAAGCGGAACTCGTCGCCGCTGAGGCCTAGAATGATGGAATTGATCGAATTGATGGAATAGAAGTTAAATGGGTTTATGGTTTCACGCCTGCCAAAGCGAAAGCCGACGATGCCGCTTGCCCGTTTGCCCTATCAGAAAATTGACAATCTGCAGCAGTCAGTTGGAGCCTTTGGTTCCCAGTCGTCCGTCCGTCCGTCTGTCTCTGTAATTTATTGAATTTCAATCGAGTTCAATGACGATGACAAGCAAGTCAATTTTCCACTCGAAAGCATGGCCAATGCGCCTTGTAGGACACTGAGATATGTATGTGTGTATGTATGAATGTGTGCGGCTTTTGGCACAACTGCAAGGATGGGCTGCCAGGAAATTTCCACTTAAGCTATTTGCGCAACACTTGCCCGCTGAAGGAACTAAACGGGGGAGCCAAAGGACTTGAGCCTGTCTGGCATTTACTGTTTCTTTTCAACAGAAACGAAAGGAACCTCGGCCCCACCCGAGGCATATGGTTAAACCGTTAATTTCACTTGGTCTTATCCGGGGAACAAGTTAATAAATAGCTTTCATTTCTTACTCACCCTCGAACTCCACTTTACGCAAATATTTGAGCAAATCTGCTCCCTTTGTCGGCTTCATGGCCTCGCACAGAGAAGGACCACCGCCGCACAAGTCGCGATGCATGTCCCTGGGTAGAGAAATTTCATTAAATATTTTCAAACATTAAGCTCTAACTTCTTAACTAGCCAAGAAAACCACTATGTATTTAACTAACTTTTAGGCTTTTTAAAGGTTCTGTTATTTTAGTCCCTTACCTCAGGGCATAGGCAAAGGCCATTACTGCATCGCTTACGAACTGCAACTGGTCTTCAAAGTCTGTGTTCTGCCGTGAAAGTCTCTCTTTTTTGGTGCACTGTTTGGTGTAGTTATTGTAAGGTGTGCTGGTACTGCCAGGATATCGGCACTGGAAGTGATCTTCCCAGAATTCTACAAGAAGTAAATAAACATTATTTAATATTTAACTTCAACTTTTAATCATCTCAGCAATAAACGTTGCCAGGGCTTAACTTAAATTGCCTGCACAATTTTAATCGGTTTAAACACTTACCCACAAACCAGGGATTTCGTTGGTTGTTCTCCACCGTCAGACTGAGAAAGTATTCCTCGAATCCGCGTACTGGATTCGCCTGCGGCTGCACAGACAGCGTGCCTTCCACCTGTTGATGACACCAAGACACACGCGGCGTATACTTAATGAGCTTGATCACAATGAGAGAGCCTATCTCTGGTCTTGAAAGGTTTTTGACAAATTAATTAGCCTCGCACACGATTAATTTAAACGAAACCATAATTCATCATAGGAAAAAAGGCGTGTAAAAATATATTTTCGTTCGTTTCCATTATTTATACGCTTTTTTTTTCTTCCTATTTTGGCTATCATATAATCGGGTTAGGCCTACGTTAAGGCGTGTGTCTGGTCAAAAGCCGGATCATTAATCAAACCTAGTTGGTCCGCCCACTTAGGCTCATAATTTCCGGCTGACAGAAAGCGGCTCGTCATCCAGGCTAACGAAATAGTTCACTTACCTCCGGTTCATAATCATCCGATACCAAATTCCGAGCACTCCAGCCATCGGATCCAATCCAGGAGAACGAACCAGTTGCATTTGCCCGCCGCACGGCCCGCATTACTTGGCGCACCTCCTGATCCGAACCGAAGATAATGGCCCCTGTGCAGGAGAGGATTAAAAGGAAGCGAAAAGAAGGACAGGCAGAAATTAATTTTAATTGCAATCAATGGTGAATAAGCGGCTTTATTGCGGAAAAGAAAACAATCTGCAGCTGCCAACGCCAACAGCTCTTGTGTTTTCCTTTTCGAGGGCTGTCATTCCCTATGGGGCTTAAAGTGTTTTTACAATATTTAATGACGTAACGAAACAATTATGAATATTGATTTTCAGAGTGTTGCACTGTAATTAGTGTTTCTGTTAGTTTACAAATGGAATTACTAACTTTCGATTGCCAGCCAAAGGCAGTTCTCTTCAATTTGCAGGAAAAACAAAATATTAATTGAATTCAAAAGTCAATAAAGGCAGCATGTAAATGCACAAACAATATGGAAATATCAATGGAAATATCAAAACAAAACAAACAATGTTCCCATTGGCTAATTGCTTAAGGCAACGCTTAAATTTCTTGGCTGGGATTCTGGATTTTTAGAAAATTTATATACAAAAAATATTTGTATATACGAGGTGTGTTCAAAAAGTAAGGTGACTCTTCAAATTTCGCGAATTTCAAATTTTTCGATTATCGAAACCTTTTAGAAGTTATACGAGGTGTGTTCAAAAAGTAAGGTGACTTTTCAAATTTCAAATTTTTCAAATTTTTCGATTATCTTCAGTTTTGGGAACAAGAAAAAGTCACATGGGGCCAAATCCGGTGAATATGGTGGCTGAGGCATTATTGTGGTGTTGTTTTTGGCCAAAAAATCCAAATCCTTTGATCCATATTTTTCGATAGCAAAAAATCGCCGAGCTCGCAAAATAACTTGTAACTTTACGCCTCTCACAACCAAACAAAAGAGGATGTTCCATTGAAACTTGGTACAGATGTTAGGGAAGAGTGTACCAATATAACAAAACAAAAAAATCGATAATCGAAAAATTTGAAATTCGCGAAATTTGAAGAGTCACCTTACTTTTTGAACACACGTATACTTCATGTTCTTGGTATTGACAGGAGTTGGTTTTGTTTTTCCATTCCTGGCAAAGTTCTCAGGGATACGTGAGATATCGGTCCGGCCAAGAGTACTTTTTGTCTTAGCCATAATAATTTTTTTTTTTTCCTTTGCCCTGTCCTGGTATCGATTTGGCACTTCTGCTCCGACCACTTGAAGTAAAAGGAAAGGAAACTTAATCAAAGGCAGCGGCGGCAGCAAACGGGAAAACTTGTCGATACTTTTGTGAAGTGAAGGATATTTTCTTTGGATTTTCACTTTGCCTTAGATTTGCACTCGAGCTTCTGGGCTCCTTTGTCCGCCTATATATATCTATATATCTATATATATATAAACTAGTCAAGTACCCTGGATATGCTTAGTAGGAGGGATATCAAATTTACTTTAAGAATACCCAATCGGGTTGGATATTTATGCAGATTAAGGAGGCGACTTTAAAGCGATCTGAAACGGGCAAGGGCCTTGTCATCTCCTGTGTAAAATCGCATCAGCTTGGCACAACTGCGATAAAAAGGAAAAACATGTCGGGCTCGCTTCACTCCAACCATTTACACCCCACCAAAAAGTGACATGTGTGTGGGGATGCGGACAGGCGTAAAGTTCACCCCGGACGGCAGTTACGGATACGGAAGGGCATCATTTTTCAGGGACCCAACTCGAATCCAAAGCTCAACCGTCGCCTCGATATGCAAAATTAAACAACTGATGCCAAAGAAAATACTTTGTCAAATTGATTAATCGTTGCGAGGGAGCAACGCCGTCGAGCACCGTAAACGGCGTCAAATCACAAATCACAATAAATAATGATGGCCGGGGTGGAACCCTTTTCTTGGTTGGCCGACTGCTTTACGACTTTGCTCCTCTGTGCTGATGGCACATTTATGTAAATCAAAAATTGTTTGCCAGACAAAAGTCAATTGTTATTGGTCGGCCCCCGTGTGCTTTTTATTGGAGGGCACGACCCTTCTCCTTCTTCTAAATCGCTGATTAATGATATGCACCAAAGGTTTAGGCGGTAATTATTTTTAATATATATTCCTTTTTGCAGCTTCTGTAACTGGCAGTTGATTAATATTCGACAGGGGAATATAAAATAAGCGAAAAAAGAAGTAAAAGTTAAATTGATTGACATTTATTTTTTATTTATCTGGCTTTTCAATGCGTATGATTGACGTGCGATTGAGGCAATACAGTGTTGTGGGTTAAAAATCGGTTTAATTTAGTTTGAAAAATCGTTCTGATAAATTTGAATTCTTGTCGAGACCCTGACTGGATTTTTTAATTGCTTGCCATGTCAGAAAGGTAGTGTCATTCATCAGACTTCCCGAATGTCAAGTTTCGTTTTTTTTATTTTGTTTTGTAAAAAGAGGAGGGGGTTTTAATTTTGACCTTAACAGATATACAAATTTTTTGTTTCACTTTTCGCCAAACTACAATATTGGCATATCAGTTTGTCCACTTTTGGCCTGATATCTCTCAATTTATTTGCAAATAACTTTTTTTTTGTTTGTTCGTTCGTGAACTTTTTAATTTCCCGCTGGGACAGAATGACGCGGGATAGCGTGGGCGTTTTTTTTTTTTAAATATTTTCATTTAATTTGTGCAATTTCCGTCGCTCAGTCCCTCAGCCACCCAAAAAAACAAGTGAAAAGTACAGAAAAAGAAGCCCTGGCATAGTTCAAGACTCCGGATTGCATTCATTTGGCAGGCGTTGCGAAACGGCTTTCCTTTCGCATTTGCGAGGCGCCTTTCTTTGACATTTTCATTTTAAATTGCATTTTAACTGGCAGTCTGCTGAGTCCCTGTTCCGGTCTGAAATTTACTTTACTCTTCGCCACCTCTTTGGCCCTATATAGAGGACACCAGTCCCCAGTTACATACCTCGGGCCCGCGGCTTCGTCAACAGCTTCTGCACTATATTATCGTACGCGATGTCCTCGGCCACTCCCGAATCCTTTACCAACTTCTCCTTGATGGCAATACAAATGTTATGGCGTGCCAGTAGCTCCTCCAGTTCCTCGAAAGCCTGTCCGGGGAATAAAAACAATTGCAGTGTTTGGTGAGCAATAAAAACCCATGTGATGGGCAAAATGGTAAAACTGTTTACCCAGGTAAGAGTGTTGGGCGTTCACTTAAAATGTATTCAGTTTGCAGGCAAACAGCTTTAGAGTGAATGTTAATGGTTTATTTAGAGCTGTTAAGCTATCAGTTTAAATCAGTTTAGGTACATGTAACTATTTTTATTACAACTTAGATTTTATGATGGTAATGTGATAAAAAAGACTCCAGTTCTTTGCACCTCTTAAGCTAAGTTCTACCCACCTTTATGCCATAATTGCTCTCCTCGTAGATAATCGAGACGTAGCTCCAACCCATCCGCTTGACAATCTCCACCATGGCCTTCACCTGATAGTGATCCGAGGGAATGGTGCGGGAAAAGTACTCGAAACGCTGTTTGTTGCTCAGCTCAGGGCTGGTGGAAAAGTAAGATACCTGGAAAATGTTTTTATATATGAGCGACGGTGGATTACCATATGGAAAGCAAATATTTTTTAGCATGAAAACCATAGCATTGACTCGGAAAATTTGCTTACAGGGTTGCGAGCATGTTGTTTTTCAGCTACCAGCCATTTTCACTTTAATTTTCTTACTTTTTCTCATTGCTCTTTTTTCTTCAGAATACACTTTCGTAAGCTTCTTCAGCAGCTTTTCCCATTCATATTTCCCCACTTTTAAGCTCTTTTTGGGAAAACCCACAAACAATGCAGCCATCGAAAGAAAACATCAGTTGGCATTACTGTGCAAAATCTGGTTCTAGGAAAAAGGCTGCAGCTGGAAAAGGCCAAATGGCCAAAGCCCGGAAACCAATTTCACGCACACATTAACCCATCCGGTTTGAAAGGGTTTCACATTCATTCAGAAGAGATGGGACCTTCGATGGCTAGTCAAGTCAACTGCAAGTGTTTAATGAACTACTTGGTTTCTAATTAAGTGTCATTACCATTAGTCAACAGTTTCACTCGCAAGTGCCTGATTACTTGTCAAGTACTCATGGCAAAGGACTAGCAAAATGGGCAAATACCGCATTTAAGCAAAATGTCAGAGACTAATTTGGTTATGGGCTGGCAAAAGGTTACAAGCTTGATTGGGATAGCTACTGAGTTATAAAATCGATTTCAGATTTTAAATTATTTCATTAGAATATCATACATACATTAGTTAAATGAGAATTTTTATTAAGATTACCAACTAATTAAAACCAAACAAATCAATTTCCTTAGTCAGACCCTCAAAGTTTACATAGCACTTCATCGCTTGATAAAAGTGCCTAAAATATTGTTGTCCAGATTTCAATAAATCATAAAATATTGCATATATGCAACAATTTTAGCTGACTTTCAGTGATGTCATGTGTATTTTGAGCTCAACGACAGCAACATTTTGCAATGCAGCCAATTTCCGCTAAGCCTGAACGAAACTGGCTAAGTCGCTATCGACCAGCCAGCCAGCCAGCCAACCAGCCAGTCAGCCTGCCAGCCAGCCATTTCAATTGCAGAACACACAAAATTTGTTTTGGAAAATGCTGTTTATGCGAAGCCAGCCGAGTATCGACGCGCTCGAACCAAATGCAATCAAATGTTTATGGCTGATTTATGAGCTCTTTTCGGGACGATGCCTGGGCCTGCATAAAACGGCTGCTGCTCCTTCGACAGGCACTTCGTGTGCGTTTAATGGCAGCTTCTACTATATATATGTATAGATATGAATGGATATAGAGTGGGGATCTGGCAGTTGGCTACTTAGTTATTGTCGCGTATTGACTTTTGGCTACAGCTCACGTAGTTGGAGCAACAGCACCGCACTGGCCACTCAATCTCCTTCAACTTCCAGCACGTGATTCATGCCGGCACTCGAAAAATTGTATTTCCTTTCTTGAATCAAAATTAATAGCAGCTTGTAGCATTCCACAAATTTTTTTCTAGTCAAATTGTTCATGAAAAATAAGGGATTCTGTATGCTGAAATATCACCTTATGTTACTTGACCAATTTGTATATTTTTTAGACTTTGTTTGACTTAAATCTTTGCCTCTTTTTACAACTTTCTTACAACTTTCTACTCTTTTCCAAAACTAAATTTTAGTATTTTCTTGTTTAAATAAATTGAGTTTTCTATATTTATCTAATATCTTCTCGTTTCCGAGTGCTCTTACAGTGAAGGAAACACAATTTACCCCAAAGGCTTTTGTTTAGTGTGTCCGAGCATAATTCTTGTGCAACTGCTGCTGCACTTTGTTCCTCTCGTTGGACTTGGTCTTCCGGCATCGACTAATTTAGTGGCACGTGCAGACACTTAGGAATCAGGGAAAGCCCTGCCAAACCTCAGTCCTGCCGACCATTACAACAGTTACCATGTGGCTTCTGGGGAAATTTTAATTACGAAATAGAGCAAACTTTTGTTGGCCAAACTAGCAAAAACACACACATATGTAGCTGCGGGCATAAAGCAAAATTTGAACTAAAAACAAAAAAAAAGAACCCCCGTTTTGTGCTCTGACCTTTTGACTGCGGACACACAAACACACACCCACACATACTCGTACACACAACTTTGGGAGATCTCACAATGGTAACTCACCTGGGGAATTCGGAATAGCCGCAGTAAATTGGCAACTTGTATGGATGTCACAGAGGAGGCGGCGCCCACCACTCCCGATATGACTTTCCGCACTTGCGTCTTGTTGCAATGATATTCCGCGTCATCAATATTGCTGATGGATCCTGAAAATATATATATAATAGAGAGAAGAGTTGAGAAATGTCATCTCGAAATTGCCATTTCAAATAAATTCGCTTGATTCTGTTTGGGCAAAGGTGAATTTCAACGGAAATTTACTTTATGCATGTGAATTTAAATTGTGGCTTGTTTTTCATTGGGAAATCTGTTGATTTCCGGGCTTACCACGTGAATTTTACTCAATTTATTCTGTGTAGAATAAACTTTTTAGAAGAATTTATCAAAGTGTAAATAGGTAACTATGCAGTTTATAGCTATTAAAAGTATTGTTTCTTAAAACGTAAATTAGTAAATTTCTAAAACCATAATACATATTTTCTTCTTATTCCTTTGGGATAACTTAAAAACACAATAACAGGCACTTAACTTAGACATTAAAAACTTTGATTCAAGTTTCAAAGGCTCTCATGTGAACAAATTGTACCTTAATTAGCAAGTTAGACGCTTAACGAAACACACTTTTGCAAACTTTAAAGAAAACATATTAAGGCTTTACCCCAAAACTTACTCAACTTGGTAAATTTATGGGCGATCTGCCCACCACGCCACGCCCACCATTATCAAGTGTTTGCCAGCTGCTGCGGCTGCTGCTGCTGGGCTTAAGTACAAATTAATTAACTCTCGGGCTCGGGATAGTGACTTGATTTTGCCCCTATACTCGTACAATCGATGCCTAACTAGATTGTTATTAACCCAAAGTAGACAGCGGTGTGGTCGGGGAGCGGTACAGTGCGGCATAGACAGAGCAACCGGCGGCATAGTTTACGGCCTGCCTAATCCTGTCAATATAATTCAGTGACTTGGAAAATTATATTTTTCATACGTCATACGCAACAAAGACAGAGATGGCTATACAGGAGAGGGAAAGAGATAGCTGGGAGAAGCACAGCACGTCGCTCAAATAAATCCTTGCCGCGCACATAAATAATGAAATTATGGAGATTAGAAAGTGTTCAGGGACGATGACAAGGATGCTGGCTCTGTGCCCAATTGATTATGGATCGTTGGATGAGTGTGTGTGTGTGTGTGTGTGTGTGTGTGTGGTGTGTCCTAGTGTGCGTCTCTGTGTGTGTGCCTCTTTGTTTGGCCCGATAAAAGTAATAAGCGGCATTTTATGTGTCCTTGATCTTCCCTCCTGCCAGGCAATCTCAATAAGCCACGCCGTTTTGTCTTAAGGGAATTATGCATATTTAGTTGCCCAGACAGAGAGAGAGAGAGAGAGAGGGAGCTCCTCCAATCTTTCGCCACGAAATCCCATAATTTATTTATTAATTTACTTTATTAATGAATGAATCTTTAACGCAAGCTTACTCATATTTCATACCCAAAAGAGTTGAATAACAAGTTGAAAATAACAACAAGCTTTTGCTCTGAGCAATCCCTCATAACACAAATCCCAGAGATACCGCTATCTAATTTGTGTTATCATTTGCCTGAATAAATTTCCAAACAGTTTCCGCCCGCGTTTTCCACAGCACAACAACAACAAGGACAACAAGGATAGCATGTAATGCAGCTGGAACTGCAATAGAAACTACTTTTACTCACAATGAAATCAACATAAGTTGCAGAACCAGAGGTATACAAAATTTGCATATAAATTCGAGAATAAGCACAGCCTGTTTTATCTGGCGTATGAGTAATGCATATTCGTTCGCTGAAGTGCACAGCAACCGTACTTCTACACTGAGAAAAATAATTTTACTGACAAGGAACATTAAAAAGTTTATAAACATAAAGTGTATTCAAGAAACTAAATACTAAAAATGCCTTTAAATGTCATTTAGTGAGAATGAAATTAAATCTTAAATATATACAAAATTAAGTCACGCTTTTCTCACTGTTCACCCCCATCGACCACCTACCTTTGATAAAATCCACAGCCATTTCAAGGCCATACGAGTCCTTATCGCAGTCATCCAGGATATGAGCGCCCAGGGTTATGTTCGGCAGCAGCTGCTCCCGGTTTATCCTGTCGATCGTGAACAGCATGGCCTCCAGGGCCTGGATGCCACCCTGCGGCATAATGGGACCGCAGGTGATGCTGTCCTCGCGCGAATGAACCATCATCAAACCCCCAAGGATGACATCGCCCTCCACAATGGCCTCCCGCTTAACAGGCCAGTGCCTCTGAGGCTGTGTGGCATGACGATCGTTCTGGAAGCTCACCGAATCGGGCAGGGATCTCAGGTACTTGCCACTGCCATCCGCAGAAGTCAAAGGCAGCACCAGATTAAGGTTGTTCAGCGGCAGGTGGCGACCGCGATGACGACCGGAACGGGGCGATGCCAAGTAGTCCTCCATATCGAAATGGTCGTAGGACAGGCCTCCATTAGCCCGCGATGGATGCCTGCCATCCGGCGATGGATCATCGTTGGCATAATCCGGCGATTGCAGATGATTCACCCATTGGTGCCAGTGTTTGCCCAGCTGCTGCTGCCGCTGCTCCAGCTCGAGAATCTCGTAATGGCTCTGTCTGTGCGTCTTCCTGCTGCCGTGCTTTCCCCGGTGATGCTGACGATGATGGAGGTGCTCGCAGCCAAGATGATTGCTATTGCTATTACCACTGTGACTGTGACTGTGACTATGACTATGGCTGTGACTGTGACTGTGATGATGACTGGGCGCCACCGCGTCGTCCTCCAGCTCAATGTCGCCCACCACCTGACTCTCGGCCCGAAGGACGTGACAGGTGGGCAGGACAACCAGGACCAGCAGCAAACAAATTTGCACGAACCATTTGCTGTCACAGATTGTTTTCATATTGGCCTTGGCTATGGTTTTTAGCGTGATATATATATGTATATATATATCGGTATTTGCCTTGGCGAACGGGTTTTATTTAAATGTGCACGGATTTGGGTTGGATATGCTTTGGATTAGCTCACAGTTCAATTGCTCTCGGCGATATGTGGCACGCATTTTGGGCTTTTCTCTCGTTGATTTCTCACAATTTATGGCGTTTTTTTCCGCTTTTGCATTTTGGCCGCGTCTGCATTTGCCAGCGTGCGAGGGAAATTCAAATTTATTCTGATTTTGCAATAAATATTTTCAACTAGTCGCACAGGTAGAAATCGTTGGAGTTTACAAAGTTATTGTTTGCCAAGCTTTTATATTAATATCTAATTTTAATAATTGGTGTGTTTAAGGGCAATGTCACAGCAAAGTTAAATCATAATTTTGATGGTTTAAATTGTAAAATTTAAAGTTAAGTTATTACACTTTAACTTTAATCTTTTACTATATTCATTTTGCCACATTTTTTAAACAAATATTAATTAAAACTTTTGTAAATTTTAAAGTCTGTATTTTTTTTTATAAAAATTTTAACAAAAAATGTTCGCCGAAACCCCCGAAAAGTTTTTGTTAGCTCCCTGAAGCTTATAGCTGTCAAGCTACCCCGATTATTGGGGCTACGGTGGGCGTGGCCCATGGGCATTTGCCCATAAAAATGATTGCCCTGAGGTAAATTAAATTTGCATAAAATTTTACGCGCCGCCGCAAGACGAGCGGAGGAAAAAAAAGAAATACGAGGAAAATGCAAGAAATCCTTTGCCGTGGATGGTGGAAAAAGGAGCGAAAAAGACGGTCTCGCCAGAGGGTTGCCAACGGTAATTAATCAAATTGTTGGCATCGTAATGAGCTTGTCGGTGGTCCCAGGCACCCGATGTTTGTTCCGCCCAACAGCCACCCAATTCGTCCTCCTTGAGCCCGTCCCACTAATCAACAGACGCGTTAACGCCACTTTAGACAAGGCCTGCAGTTGGAGTTTACAAAATTACTTATCATCAGTATAATCAGCGGCATTATCAAGGTAACCCGGAATGACATTGCAGAGGTGTGGGCCTGTGTATGTTGGGATTGCTGACTTGGCCCTCCAGTCTGTCAATTGTCGGAGTGTCGTGAACCATTCAACTTGCAGCATCTGCGCCTCCGGCTTTCGGGACGCATCGAGTAATGAGATTGCGTTAAACAAATGGTGCTTTCCCTTTTTATTGTACGTAATAGACACCGGAGGCTGCTTACAAGCTCGTAATTTATTTTGATTACATTTGTCGTTCCACTGTCCTCTGTCAGTGTTTCTCATCCGACCATCCGCTTTCCCAGGGTTTCACAGGCTTTACGACTTTGTCGGTTGGATGTTTACTTAACTACGACTATTGGGTAATTAATTCGAAGGCCGAAATCGTGATTAAGACAACCAAATCAGTTGAGAGAACCACTATTTGTATAGGAAATAGCTGTCAAAGCCTAGGAAAAATTTGGTCTTATATCTTGTTTTTCCAGGATTCTTAAACATAAAGGGCTTAGCTTACATAAAACCACTTGCAGAAAAGAATTTTTCCAAAAACATTCAAATATTTTTGATTACACTATGGGGCACGTAATTTTCTGTTCTTGCTGGAATATTTTTTGCATAACGAACACTGCCTCAGGCTGTCAGTGACACTTGTCGCAACGTGTTTTGTTGGACAATGTTCATACCGAAGTATTTCGAGGAGCGATACCCAACCAGCCAACCAGCCAACCCATCGACCCATTCCCAGCCCTTTTGGGAACCCATTTTCTGTCTGGGCCAACTCAACTTTAAGCCCCACACCCATACCCACTCCCACTCCCACTTCGCTTTGTCATTGTCTTATTTTGCATTTTGTATGGGGGACTTTGATTTGATTGAGCATTTTGTTCGTTTGCCTTGTGTCCCTTTTCGCTGATTTGAATTTTCGTTAAATTTGGATTTTTTGTCGCTGAAATATTTTATATAATACCGGTCTGGCTTTAAGGGCAGCAGACGATATCAATTTGTTTGGCTTTTTTCCATTCATTCTCGGTCTGTTGTGCAAATTGATTTCCATCGATAGGATTTACAGTCGCATAACATTGACGACTTCGCCGAGTGTTCATGTAAATTTGACCTTCAGAGGAGAGTATATATTACTCTTAAATAAATTAAGGCTGAATTGAAAATGTATTTTAATATTCC